GCCATTTTCACAATAGTAATCCTACTGATCCATGAACATGAGAACATGGAAAATCTTTCTATGTACTGACTGACACCTTCATTTTCTTTTTTCAATTTCTTAAAACTTTTATTATCTGTCTTTTACTTTTCTATTTAAATTTTCTATTTAAATTTATTCTCAGATATTTTATTTATTTACTTGATGCTAATTGTATGGTATTGTTTCTCTTATTTCCTCTCTCAGTATGTTGTTCGTATATAGAAAGGTTACTTACTGATTTTGGTGCCCACTCTACCCTTGACTCTGCCTCCTTGCAGTTCATATAGCCCAGGCATGCTTAACATCACAGGCTCTTTGTAATTGCTGTTTCTTTTCTTGAAATAATTTTCCCTAGGTACCTCCTGGATCCTTTGCTTCCTCCGAGTCTTTGTTTAAATATTACCTTATATGGTGGTTTGAATGCCTTGGTCATGGTGTCTCTTCACAGTATCAAAAAAGTAGCTAAGATGCACTAACAAATAATAAAGCCCTTTATAGCCCTTCAATATAAAATTGTAAAACAGACAGACAGCAGCCCTCCATTGTGCCTTCTGCACCCCTTCCTACCTTGTTTCTCTTAGCGCTATAACACGGTTTACCATGCTCTTGGCCCTACTTACTTACCTCATGAAGACCAGGATTGTAGTTCTCCACCTAACAAACCATTTCTCAGCTCTCTATCCCTTTTAGGTAACATTGATTCCTCATTTATTAATTCTCTCTAACATTTTCTGAATATTCATATTGTGGTAACATGTGGGGAGAATTTGGGACTGCTAAAATGAAGGCCCCTCTGCTCAGGTAGTTTCCTTGGAGGCTTTTTCTCTAATAGATATTTGAACTGCTGCTAACGTTTATTATTATTGTTGTTGTTGTTATTGTGATTATTATTATTGCTGTTGTTGTTTAAAACAAAACAAAAAACAAGGTGACCCTTCTTATACATGGCTTTTTATTTAAGTGAAATACCTAGAATTAAAGTTGCTAGGTAATGGAATAGCACACTATGACTGTTAACCAGTTGTTTAAATTGTATTGTGAAGTATGAGAGTTCCCTTCTCACTACTGCTTGCTCAGACTTCAAAACCTTCACCACGGCTATCTATACAGCTCAGTGGGTAGTGACACTTGTTGCCAAGCCTAATGACCTTAGTTTGATCCCCAGAACCCACATGGTGAAAGAAGAAAATTGACTCTAGCAGGTTGTTCTCTGGCCTCCATGTGTACATCATGGTACGCACATGTATGTGCACGCAAACACACACACACACACACACACACACACACACACACACACACACACACACATACATACACAAGAAGAACTTTGAAATGGCTCAGCGGTTAAGAGCATTGGCTGCTCTTCCAAAGGTTCTGAGTTCAATTCCCAGCAACCACATGGTGGCTCACAACCATCTGTAATGAGATCTGATAACCTCTTCTGGTCTGCAGGCATACATGCAGGCAGAACACTGTATACATAATAAATAAATCTTAAAAAAAAAAAAAAAAAAAAAAGAACTTTGCCAGTCTGATGGATACGCAAAAAATCACATTTGCAGTCTCCTGATTGCTAGTGACCAATGCTAATACCTCTATTTCATTTATATGGAAAAGTTTCCCACTTTTCTGCTGAGTAATGTATTAGTTACTTGTTGCTGTGGTAAAATACTTAAAGCAACTTAAGAAAGGAAGGGTTTGCGTCCATCATGGCAGAGCAGTCATAGTTACAGGAGCTTGAGGCAGCTAGTCCCATCTGCATTTAGGAAATAGCACTGATACTGCTTGTGCTCAGCTCCTGTTCTCCTTTTACTCAGTCTAGGACACCAGTCTAGGAATGTGCTGGCCCACATTAAGGGTAGGTTTTCTTATATCAGTTAACCTAATCTAGATAGTACAGAGCGTTATTTTCATTATAATTCTAAATCCCATCAAATTAACAATAAAGGTTAACATCAGGGACCCAGAGAATCAACCATTAAGACCACTTACTGCTCATGCAGAGGACTAGAGTGTTTGGTCATCAGCACCACATTGAGTTGCTCACAACAACTTTAACTCCAGCTTCACAGGGAATTAAACTCCTCTGGCCTCTGCAGGTAATTGCATTCATGTGCATATATCCCCACCCCTCCATCATTTAAAATAATAAAAATAAATCTTAGAAATGATTAACGTAAGTAGTTTTTCCTTTCGTTGTTCCTTTTGTATAGTGGATGCCATTTCTTTGTTATATGTGCTATAAATATCTTCCATTCTTTGCCCTGTATTTAATTTTCTTGTTCTTCTCAAACAGAAATTTTAAGTTTCTTTGTAGAAAATTTGATTTCTACCTTGTTACCTAACAATTTCTTCCCTCTATTAAAATCAGAGAGTACTTTTATTATTGTTTTCTTTAATTTGTCTTAAAAATGTAGTTTTTTAGTATTCAAGTTCAATATACCTGGGATTGATTTTTGTATATAAAACAAGGGAATTTGTGTTTTCCCATTGGAAAGTTATTTGTTTCATCTCTCAGTTTATTGGATGAGCCATCTTTGATGGCTAATGTATGTATTTGCCTTCTCTGTTATGAATGGCATTCTTAATTCCCTCTACACGCTTTTTTTTTTCCTGTTTCACTCATCTATTGGTGTATCACCTTAATTATAGCATTTATATGATAAGTCTTGGCATTTGTAAGGCAGAATCCTTCCACACATCTTGGTTTCTTATTTTCACTGCTACTTAATAACTGCAATTTTGCTACTGTTACGAATCATAATATAAATATCTGTGTTTTCCAGTGGTCTTAGGCGACTCCTGTGAAAGGGTTGAGAATCACTGTTCTAGAGCCTCTTCTTCTCCCTACCCACCCAAACTTTAAGTTCTTTAATGCAGATTTAAAGGGAGTTGATGTACTAGTTGCTTGCCAATGATAATTAATGTCTTGTTCCCCATTTGGTAGAACTGTTTGTAGGAGGTATGGCTTAGGAGGAGCAGGTAAGTCACTGGGGGCCCAGCTTTGAAGTTTAAAAAGCCCACTTCATTCCCAGTTAGAGCTCTCTTTCTTTTTCTGCCTCCAACTTAGAGAACCAGATGTAAGCTCTCAGCTTTTCCTGCCACCATGCTTTTGCTCTGCTATTATGGACTCTAACCCTCTAAAACCGCAAGCTCCAAATTAAATACTTTCTTTTATAAGTTACCTTCATTGGTCACACTGTTTTATCACAATTATAGAAAAGTAACTAAGACTACTATGCTAAGATTATTTTTAGTACCGTATCTGGAGAGATGATGTCCTAATTGACTTTCTGTTGCTGTGATAGACACCATTACCAAAAGCAACTTGAAGAGGAAAGGGTTTATTTCATCTTAGTCCATCATTCATGAAGGGAAGCCATGGCAGGAAGCTAGAGGCAGGAACTGAGTCAGAGGCCATGGAGGAATGGTGTGCTGTGGAATAATGCTTTTGTACATTGGTTTAATAAAACGCTGATTGGCCAATAGCCAGGTAGGAAGTGTAGGTGGGATAAGCAGACAAGGAGAATTCTGGGAAGAGGAAGGCTGAGTCAGGAGATGCCAGCCTGCCATCCAGGGAGCAGCATGTAATGGCAAACAGGTAAAGCCATGGAAAACGTGGCAACATATAGATTAACAGAAATGGGCTGAGTTTAAGTGTAAGAGTTAGTCGGTAGTAAGCTTGAGCTGATGGCCGAGCAGTTTTAATTAATATAAGCCTCTGTGTTTACTTGGGTCTGAGAGGCTGTGGACTGGGTGGGACACAGGAAAACTTTTAGCTACAATGGTGCTTTCTGATTTACTCCCTGAGGCTTGCCCTGCATGCCTCTCTCACCCCGGTGCAGCAATCATTTATCAAGAAAATGACCCATAGATGTAGCTAGAGTTTTCCTGCCTGGCCCACAGTCAGGACAAATCTCTCTCACCTGCCAGTCCCACAGCCACTCAGACCCAACCAAGTAAACACAGAGACTTATATTGCTTACAAACTGTATGGCCGTCGCAGGCTTCTTGCTAACTGTTCTTATAGCTTAAATTAATCCATTTCCATAAATCTATACCTTGCCACGTGGCTCGTGGCTTACCGGCATCTTCACATGCTGTTTGTCATGGCGGCGGCTGGCAGTGACTCTCTGACTCAGCCTTCCACTTCCCAGCTTTATTCTCCTCCTTGTCCCGCCTATACTTCCTGCCTAGCCAATGGCCAATCAGTGATTTATTTATTGACCAATCAGCAATACATTTGCCATACAGAACATCCCACAGCACATAGACTTATCTACAGGCCAGTCTGATGGAGCCATCTTCTTAGTTGAGTTTATCTCCTCCCAATTATGTCTAGCTTGTGCCAAGTCAACAAAACACTAACCAACACAGATAGTCTTCTGAATTTGAAGGCAGAGTGTATGTTCCTCCAGGAATATTTTAAACATATTTCTATCTATATTTCAGAAAGTCATACCTGTTAACTGGTACACAGAAATGATTGGGGGGCATAAATCTGCCACATGAATCTTAAACCTTTTGATAGCAAAACTTTTTGATCTGGGTATAGAAGAGGTTAAAAATAAGCAAAAAAATTATATCAGGCATGGTAGTCACATATTAGCTAGACATAGTTCTATTTCTCTCAGTAAGAATCTATCACAGGAGAAAACAAGGTATTCATAGGAATGAAAAGCAAGGAATTCAGTAAAGAAAGCTTCTATGCTCTCATATCTGAGTTTTTTTCTTGTAGCATATTTGAGAGGTGTAAACTTTTTCATTATTGAAGGTATGACTTAATTTATTTCTGAATATACCTGTTCACCTTTGAAGAAAAGCATTGGTGGCTTAACTGTACTAATTCAATGGATTCATCCTATGTGCAGTTTAAGGCCAATAATATGTGTAATCTGATCAGTTATATAAAACCAATAGTAAAATATCATACCAACTAGCCTGTTGACTAGTATTCTTTTTCTGTTGTTTGGTCTTAGGGTTTTGACCCACCACATCAAAGTGACACAAGAACTATTTACATAGCCAACAGATTTCCTCAGAATGGCCTTTATACACCTCAGAAATTTATAGATAACCGGATCATTTCATCTAAGGTAAGGATAAACAATTTTATTATTACACTGTAGATGTAGAGCTGGGGATATATTTGTAGCTCATTTGGTAGGATGCTTGCTGTCGTGTCCAAAGTCCTGAGTTCAATCCCTAGTACCACATAAACTGAATGTTATGATGTATACCTATAATTCCAGCACTCTTGAGTTCAAAGTCATCTTTAGCTACATAGCAAGATTGAAGCCAGCCTGGGATACCCTGTCTCAAATAACTAAAACAAGATGGTAGATATGGAACATTTTAAAAAATGATTTGCTGAATGTGTGCAAGTGTGCGTTTATACCTTTAAAAAGTCAAGACACTGAAGGTTGATAGATTTATCTCACCCAACATGATATATGAAAGAAAAGAGACTGCTAGTTGGTACCAATTAACAGTGTCTTCAGTTGCGACTGTACTGGATGGCTGTCTGCTGAACCTGTTTCTCCTCCTATGTCATTTACTCTTTGCAGCAGCCTATGTGAAATAACTATTAAATCATGTTTACAAAATGCTATATTTATATTACCACAGTTCTTTGATTCCAGTGCTTGGAAATTGAATAATTTCCCCCAAATTGTAAGTGGCCTAGTTGGAGTTTGAACTCTGTTCCATGTGACTTTAAAGCTTCCTTATTTCATTTTTGGTGTCTCCCATAAATTTTTTGTTTTGTTTTTTGAGACAGAGTTTCTCTGTGTAGCTTTGTGCCTTCCCTGCACTCTCTTTGTAGACCAGGCTGGCCTCAAACTCACAGAGATCCACCTGCCTCTGCTGGGATTAAAGGCGTGCACCACCACCGCCTGACTCCCATAAATAATTTAATGTAAGGTACTACTTCATTCTTATTTATTTTTTCTTGTTTTAATTTTTCCTTTGCCTTTTGAAGAAGTTGTTTGTTAAAGCAGAGAATTATGGAGCAATGCTGTCTAATTCATTTTTCCTTCATGACAGAAATGAGTTGCAGTGTTCAGTAAAATAGCACATAGGACTGTTGAGGCCTTGGAAATATGGCTGGTACAACTGACAACCTGAACATTTAAAAAGTATTTTAATTTAAATGTCAGATCCATATGTGACTAGTGACTCCCTTATTAAACAGTGCATTTATGAGGATGTGAATCAGAGAGACTGAGGATAAAGTTCTTACTTAGAGCCTGGCCCTTGCTTGTAGGGCTCCACAAGAAACACCTTTATATGCTCTTCCCTTGTCTTCCAAAGACAACTAATGCTTTTCCTCGAATACTGATTTCATCTTCCCTGAGATGTCGCCTTAGCTCAACAGTTCCCTTTTCCTGCCCTTTTCCTTCTACTATCCCATTATTTCTGTGTGTAGCTGATGTACTAATGATGCTGACACAGTGGTGATGTCAGCTGTGCAGTGCCCCAGCTCTTGTCTATACTGTGGATGCTTTATAGGTTTTAAAATAGTTTTAAAGTCTAAGTTTTGTATTTAAAAATAGTCATTTCCTACCCCTCATGTTCCACTCCCAACCTTCACTCCCTCTCAAATTTACAACCTATTTTTCTTTGTTACTTTTGCATGTATAAGTACAACCTGTTGAGTCTGTTTAATGTTGCTTGTATGTTTGTGACTTCAGGCCTGACCTCTGGGGAAGACTAATTCTACTGCTCTTAGCTTTCCTTAGTTACCTGTCTTTGTCTAAGTGTAAGGCCCATTGAGATTTCCTCTTTCTGTGTTAGCATGTTGATTTTTTTTTTTCCTTGTTCTGGTCTTGTTTAGGTATCCATACTGTTGAGATATCCTAGGCCATGCTTCCCTGCCACAGTCTTACAGCTGATTTCCTGGTTCTTTGGTTTGACAGTCTTTCTACCCCCTATTCTATGATACTTCCTGAGTCTTAGGCTTGGTAACTGTGGTATAGATATAGCCACTGGGACTTGGAACCCCACAATCAGCTCTCTGCATTTTGACTGTGGTTTTCTGCAGTAATCTCTGTATTGCAAAGAGAAGCTTCCTTGATGATGGGTGAGAGCTACACTTATTTGTGGATACAAAGAGAAGAATTGAGGATACAGTTAGGAATTAGGCTGGTTTAGTAATGTGGTGGTGGTATTAGGTTCTCCTCTAAGATCCATGACCCCTCCAGCCCTGGGTAGCTGGCCAGGTTTTCAGTGCCAGGCTTGATTTCCCTCCTGTTCAGTGGGCCTTATGTCCAAATAGAGAGATGTTCATTACTGCCAAGATATGATGGCCACTGATATAGATTTACCACTGATAAAGATATACCTCTTGTAGTATTTTACCATGCTGGCATTGTTGTGGTTAATAGGTATCACAGCTGGGTGGCACTACTGGTTGCTTCCCTCTGTTGGCAACTTGTATAGCTCCCTCCAATATTATGGAGTACTATAGTCTTTGTTAAGGAGGAGGCTTTCAGATCAGATCCTCTGAGTCCTGATAAACGCTAATATTTAAAATTCTCATCTGCTAGGACGTCACACTTCCACATAAAACATTTTAGCTGGTGTTGGAAACTGAGAGTCCCAGAAATGTGCTAAGTGCTTTTACATGGCTCTTCTCTTATGCAGCAGTTGAGGTTTAATGTTTTTGAACAGAGTTTCAGAAGTGTAGGTGTTGAAATAAGCACTCTCTTTAAAACCTTTTAGCTTCAGTCAGAGTTTCCTTATGTTGCTTTCCTACTGTTGTATCTCAGTTGTTTCCGGAACCTCCTAACTGTATTGCTGGCTGACTCATAGCTCGGTGAACTCTTTTCCCATTGAACCTTGGCTGGATTGTTTGCTTCCATCGTGGCTTTTAATATAAAAATCTAAAGATGCTGAGTTCATGTCAATTAAGAGTATAGGTATTTGCTGACACTATTCTCTTGAGCTTCAATGAGGCTGGCATGATGTTATTCTCTTTTCGAGTCCTGTGTTGTTCTCTGAGACATTGTCTACAAAAGCACAGGACCTTTGCTGCGTTTCCTTTTGTTTTATATGTTCATTTATGTATCTCATCTTTGACTGCAACTGTTGAAATTTAGTTCTTAATCTCTTTGCTTTACTTGTAAGCATCTTAGTGTATCTGACTTGTTTAAATATGTAATGATAGTTTTTGTTTGTTTGGTTTTTTGTTTTTTTTTTTTTTGACAGGGTGTTTGTATGTAGCCTTGGCTGTCCTGGATCTCACTGTGTAGACCAGGCTGGCCCCCAGCTCACAGAAATCTGCTTGCCTCTGAGTACTGGGTCTAAAGCAGTGGTTCTCAATCTCCCCAGTGCTGCAACTCCTTAATACAGTTCCTCAGGTTGTGGTGACCCCAACCATAAAATTACTTCATAACTGTAATTTTGCTACTGTTATGAATCATATTGTAAATATCTGATATGCAGGATATCTGATATTCGATCCCTGTGAAAGGTCATTTGACCCCAAAGGGGTTGGAACCCACAGGTTGAGAACTGCTAGCCTAAAGGTTTGTGTCAGTATGCCTAGCTTTGATAATGACGTATCTTAATTCACTTACCATAGTAGCTACCTTATATTAAATTTAAACTGCCTTGAAAAATATTTAATTTTATTATCAGTATTAGAACTTAGAGGGAGAAGGTCAGTTATAAAGTCATACATGACCTAGAGAAATTAACTCCATTATCTTAACCAGTATTACATAATAGTTAAGATAACTTTAAAGCCCAATAAATTATTTTTTAAAGTATTTTCATATTTAATAGTATGTCTCTTCCATCTCTATGGTAGAATAAATGCAGAATTTTGATTAACTCATTCTGTTAATATGTTTGTATTTTATAAAACATGAAAATAATATTTTGTCATTTGTAAGCTGCTTTGTATATGAAAGTTCTATTCTCATTTTTCCTTGTTTTATGAGCTAGACAAAGAAAATTTTAAAATTCATTTTTATGGGACTGGAGAAAGGGCTCAGTGGTTAAGAGCACTTACTGCTCTTGTAGGGGACCTGGATTCAGTATTCAGCATCTACATGACAGTTTTCAACTGTCTGTAATCCAGTTCTGGGGGAACTGATGCCTTCTGCACTCCACAGGTACCAGGCACATATGGTGGTCCACATATATAAAAGACTCTTATACATCAATTTTTAAAATAATTTATTGTTATTAATTATTTGTGTGTGTCTCTGTGTGAGCATAGGCATATGAGTGCAGGTGCCTGGGGAGGCCAGAGGCTTCAGATCTTCTTAGAACTGGAATTACAGGCAGTTGTGAGCCACCTGACATGGGTGCTGAGAATTGAGTCCTCTGTAAGAGCAATATGCACACTCTTTAACTGTGGTACCTTCTTTCCATCCCTTCAAAGCAACTATCTTGAAACCATTTACCTTACTGCCAATTTATATAATTGTTTACTTTCAAATTATAGAAGGAAAAATATTGTCAGTATCATAATCTACATAGACTTTGTAAGCATAATTCTTAGAAAGTTTTGTACATTCAATAAGGTGACCAAAAAATTTCCATGGAGACACTCTGACCCCTGTAGGAACAGTTGCCTTTTACTCCGATTAGGATCAACCAGAAGCGGCTGGTGAGATGATTCAGTCAGTTAAGGACTTGCCAAAAGCATGAGGACCCTGAGTTTGGATCTGTAGCACCCACATAAAGTAGAGCTCAGTTGCCCCTGTAATCCCATTGCTGGGGAGACAGATACAGGAGGATCTGTGGAACAGAGATTAAGTCTAAGATTATTTAATGAACGTTATAACTTGGAGCCGCAGGATTTTAGCTCCCATCCATCTGTGCTTTTGACCATTATACTCAGCTGTCTTGCCTTTAGGACATTGTGGCAGTTTTGCATCCTTCATAAATTGTTTTGATGGTTATCCTAGTGACTCCTTGTCTAATTATTTCTTTAACATTCCAGGTCATGTAAAAAGAAAATAATTAACCAGGCCATTTTATTTTGTTCTGTAACTGAGTTCAGTAAAATAAAATGTTTTTAATATTTTTAGCATTACTATCAATGCTTAATCGTCTTTATTACTTTAGTTTTATGTAACCAAATCCAAAATATATTGTTAAAGTGTTTAGGTGTTTTATCTAGCTTCTAAAAAAAATTAATAACTGGATGACAAAATTAATAGTTTTCATATCTCATTTTAAAAAGTGTATTAAAACTGCCAATAAATAAAAAGGGAGAAATGAAAGTAGCATAAGAGTCTTAAATTCTAGAAACCAGATAGTTTCTGGAGCATCAAGTTATATTAATTTGTCTAAGAGATTAGTAATCCAATTTTACTTTTCTTATAATTGCATCTATGTAGTATATATTGTTTTAAAATATTCTTTTATTGATTTCTCTTTTCTTTTTTTCCCTAGTATACTGTATGGAATTTTGTTCCAAAAAATTTATTTGAACAGTTCAGAAGAGTGGCAAACTTTTATTTTCTTATTATATTTTTGGTTCAGGTAAGTTTTATCACTCAATGGATTATTTATAAACTTGCTGCCTAAGCATATATTTTACAATAGGGTAAAATTACATTGTGTTCTTAGTTGTTTTTTTTCTCCTGCAGCTTCCCCCATTGTATTCATTAATAAATTATCCAAATCAAATCTAGATTTCTAAAACATAGGCTATAAATTTTAAAATCAGTTGCATTTTGTTTCTTTACTAGTGTGCCATAGTACTGATAACTGTAATCTGAGCCAGGTAGTTTTCAGATGCCTATCTCAGAGTATAAATGTTTTGGCTGTTCATATGTAGTGCATCATTGGCACATGTCTGCCTGTGGAATCTTCATACAAGATAACTGTTTGTGTGTTTTTTTATTAAAATTTTGTTTTTGCTACTTGTCACATGAGTCTATAGTCACAGATACTCAAGAGGCTGAGGCAGATGAGGATTGCTTGTACCCAGGAGTTTGATGCTAACTCAACAACATAGCAAAACCCCACCCCAATAAATTTTATTTGAATTTATAAATTTTGTTTGGTTTTTTTTTTTGGTTTTGTTTTTCGAGACAGGGTTTCTTTGTGTAGTTTTGGTGCCTGTCCTGGATCTTGCTCTGCAGACCAGGTTGGCCTTGAACTCACAGAGATCCGCCTGTCTCTGCCTCCTGAGTGCTGGGATTAAAGGCGTGCGCCACCACCACCTGGGTGAATTTATTTTTTTAACATTTCCCTCTTTCCCTTCTTTCTCTTCTTTGTGTGTGTGTGTGTGTGTGTGTGTGTGTGTGTGTGTGTGTGTGTGTTACAGCTCTAATAGAAAGGTATCCTTGGCAGTGGGAAGCCAAGGAATACCTACAGCTCTGAAGGGAATGTAAGCCCCTCAAGCTACACTAGTGGCCAGGCCCTCCCCTGATGACCTCCAACTGCCAGGTTCCACCTACAGGCCACTCTTAACTGCCCTCACTGCTGGACCCAGTCTCCACCCTGGAAAACTCCACCATGAAAAGTTCCACCCTCCTCCCCAAGAAACTATATATAAACCCTGTATACTGTTCAGCTCTGTACTGTTTCTTGCCTGAGCAGAGGCAGCCACCCTCCTATTTTTTTTCCACACAGCAAATTTCTTGTGTGAGGTTTGTTGTACAGTGTGACTTTGTGGTATTCCTTGGATCCCAACTGCCAGGATACCTTTCCATCCAACCTGTAATGCTTACAATGTACCTTCAAGTCTTACTGTGTAGCCTAGACTGGCTGTGGACTCACTCTCTAAGTCCACCCTTCTGGAATTACAGATGTTTGCCACCACAGTCAATTAATTATTCTAATTTTTTAAGTATTCACAAGAGTATTTTTCTGGGCTTAATTACAAGTTTATCATAAACTGTTCAGTAGCTTCTTAATCTAATTGATATATATATATATATACATATATATATGTATATATATAAAGTGAAGCTCAAGTGTAAGTCAATTTGTAAATATAGTGATTATCATTTCCTTACAGTTATTATTTTCAGATAAAACATTAGAATTTTTCTTCAGTGTTAAATTAAAAATTTGTTTTTACTCTAAGCTGGTCTATCAGTAGAACTAGGATTTCAAAAGAAAAGTTAAAATTACTCAATCTTTTTAAAGCTTTAGGAGTTCTTCATGAATGGAGAATGAACTTCTAATTTTATATCACTAGAGCATCTAGTGGTTTTCTTGGAATATGAAACTATGCTAGCCATGTATGCAGTTGTCAAATTGCTAAGATCAGCATGTATATAGAATAGAATTTAATTGGCCAATCCAGAGTCAAGAGAAATTAATAAACCATAAGATTTGTGTTCTTACTTGCTGCAAGCCACAAGAATATGTTAAAGAGATTCAGCTGTATATAATAAAGCTATACCTAGAAGAGTCAAGGAATTCTTCTAATGGAAAGTCAGATATCAAGGAATATTTGATTATATTCAGCTTTTAATATATCAGCTCTCTTCTGCTATGAATTTCGTGTGTGCTCATATACTACTAGGCCTTAATGGCAAACAGTATAAGCTTCTCAGACCTACTGCTGATCTGAACTAGGTAACACCCCTACAGAGCCTAGGAGACAGGCAGGTATGTAGATGCATAGCTTTGTTTCTTGTACAAATGAAGCTCAGACCATCCCTTTCCTTCAGGCCTTCTGTCCAGAGCTTTTGTCAGGACAAAAGAGTTTTTTGTATAACCAGGTACAGTGAAGGCTGGGGCAGAATTTCCTGGTTAGAGCAGAGTCACGTGGCCAGAGAAGGGAGAACAGGGAAGAGTTTTTGGTTTAGTAGGGATTGGGGAAATTTAGAAGAGGAAGGAAAGATGAAGGACGGAGGAACAGAAGATAAGGATGAGGTCAGAGAGTATAAGAGCTTAGTTATTACTAGGGCTATGAGAAGACAGAAAAAGAAGGGACAGAGAGGAACTGAGTGTCAGAACGGAACTGAAGCTGTGTAGATAGAATTTTGTCTTAGAGAAATAAAGAGGACAGACAAAAGAGCCCAGTGTACTTAGATTCTTTTCCCTCAGAATAGCATCTTCCTTAGGACCCTGGGAGGAATTTTCTCAGGGCAGGCCCCTGGGAAAATTTCAATACTTACTAACCTATGTAATTACGGCAAGTACTTCTTCAGCAATTGTAGAAACTTGAGTTACATGATTTACATCATACTTGCAGCACCATTTTCCTAGCTCTCTTCCTCTGATTCTTTTGGGTATAACAAATCACTTGTAAGAAAAATCATTTTCCATTTTCCATTCCTAGTTCTCTTTCTCTGGGGTTCAATTTCTCCTAAATCCTAGGTTAAAATTGCTAACAGACTTTTCGCATTTTGTAGGATGTACAAAGAAATGTGAAATGAGATAAGCCCCAGTGTGGCTCTACTTGAATATTGAAGAATTTAGGAACTGTTAAAGCAAAGTGCCCTCACATAGTGGTGCCTACACATGCTTATAATCCCAGCACTTGAGCAGCAAAGACAAGGGGATCAGGAGAAGGTTTTGTTTTGCAGGAGCATTTGTAGCAAAATCCTGTCTCCAAAAACAAAACAACAATAAAACAGAGTAGCTGAGTTCAGTGTAGCAGAATACCAGAGTGTACAATTGAAAGGCTCTACCAAGCCTCTGAAGTAGTCAGGAAAGCGAAGTTGTGAACTAAACTATGTACATTGTACAATAGCATGAAATTTTAGGTATTAATATAGCATGTAATATAACTATGTAATACTCTTCATTCTTTCTTTAAATCTAGCTCATGATCGATACACCTACCAGTCCAATTACCAGTGGACTTCCATTATTCTTTGTGATAACAGTAACCGCCATAAAACAGGTATGTAATACTTCCTGCCTTAGTTCTTCCAAAATTTATTCAAAAATCTTAAATATTTCTACTCCAAATTAACATTATTGTGAAAACAATTTACATAACAAAGCAGTAGATTGATTTGATACACAACAAATTATATTTCAGGTACCTTATGACTCATGAATGATTTCAGTATTTAAAACATATTATTGTCGCTGGGTGGTAGTGGCACATGCCTTTAATCCCAGCACTCGGGAGGCAGAGGCAGGTGGATTGAGGCCAGCCTGATCTGCAGAGCAAGTTCCATGATAGGCTCCAAAAGCTACACAGAGAAACTTTGTCTTGAAAAACAAAAAAATTATATATATACATATTTGTGTGTGCATATATATATGTTATTGTCTTGACATAGGAATCAATCTAAAAATAAATACATGTACAGGCTAGTTTTTGAAGTAAATTAGTATAATCATTTTTTTTTTTTGTAATTTTAGTGATGTTTAAAAAGAAATATGGTTCAAAGAAGTAAGTTTATAGAATGGAGCATTTGCTTTTGGCATGAACTTCCCTAAACTTTACAGTTTTCCTTGATAGTTATTTTTTGTGTGTGCTAGTACCCTAATGGAAATAATTTCAGCCAGATTATAAGTTGACGTTGAGATTTAGGAAAAGAAAAATCGAATATTAGATCAGCATGCTAATTAAGAAATAAATCCTTTAAAATGTCAAATAGATATTGCTACCACTTCTCAGAACATCTAGTCAAGGTCTCAGTGGTACAGAGATGATTCCTTCCACTAGACAGACAGAGATCATTGCCTTTTATTACCTAAATAATATTAAAATCCTCTGTTTTATAATATGTAAGGATAATATGTTAATTGATGGAGAAATTGCAGTTCTGAGATGAAGTGTATTACTTAATTACCTTTACTTTTTTCTCTATTTATATTAAAATTAATTACGGTGTGTGTGTGTGTGTGTGTGTGTGTGTGTGTGTGTGTGTGTGTGTGAAATTTGCTGGTGAAAGTCAGAGGACAACTCATGGGAGTCAATTCTTTCTTCTACCACGTAGATCAGGTATTGAACTTAAGTTATCAGGCTTAGTAGCAGGTGCCTTTACCTCTTGAGTCATTCCACCAACCCTACTTTATTTTTGTTTAAAGATAAAGGATAAGAAGGGCCTATAGATTATTAATTACGTTATATAACTAGTGTGGCAGAATAGTAGTCTTGGCTCTCACCAAACTTGATTTCCCTTTCTTCTCTCTTCTATTGGAGACTAGGATCTGTTTGTGTAATCTAGTAAGCATCTGAATCACTCCATATAGTTACATATTTATAGGTTTACAAGTGTCCTTTATTTCATCAGAGTAATATGTATTTGTTCTTTGGGCCTGTCTTCTATATTTTCACTAGGTGGTTTCTGGTCAGTCTCTATGCTGCTGTTCTCAAATTTACATTCTAAAACTATTTGAACCATTTAAACACATGCACACACTCATTTGTACATTTGAACACCTTACAAGAATCTTATATAGAACTCGTGGTGTTTCCCCCTGTGAAGCCATGCTGCTTCTGCTGTTCCCTAGCTTATTAATGGTACTATAGTTCTTTGACTCTATCTCTGCCTTTAAGATGGACCTAATTTGTCTAAGTAACCAGCATCCCTTGCTTAGACCATTGTGGTGTTCTCTTTTACTCTTAGCCTCCCTGTTTTTATACAGCAGCTGAATTGATCTCAACATTGGGTCATGCTGCCCTTCTGTTTAAAACTATTCAGGGAATTCTCATCAAATGTCAGTGTCTTTAGTCTGTGGAAGACATACACAGTGCTAAGATGATATTTGAAATGGTGATAATAATTAAGGTAACTGAAAGATAATTGCTGTAAGCATTGAGAGCCAATGAAATGGTTTAAGTAGGCTACTCAACTAAAACAATGAATTGAGATGAATCTAGCAATAAAATGCAAAATGAATTAGAATTTATGAACTTACATTAAAAGGATAATGCATTTATTGTTACTGCTTTGCTATTAGTTATCTGACTATGAAAGGAAGTAAACTTTTTTTATAGCCTCAGAAATGATCTCAGCTTTTTCTAAAATTGACATATTGCAACTTCAATTGGACCAATATAATTTAGATGTCTTAGAGTGCTTTCCCAAAATGTTTTCTCAAAAAAAAATAGTCTTTTAAAAAAACAATTATCAATATTTTGGTTTATCACCTCCAGCTCTTACAATCTTTCTGCCTGCTCTGATGCATAGCTCCCTGAGTCTTGACGAGGGCTTTGATGATGACATCCCATTTAGGACTTAGTGCTGCACAGACTTTCATGCTTTGCACATTGTCCACTTGTGGGTGTCTGTGTTGGTTCCCATTTACTGCCAGAAGAAACTTCTCTGATGAAGGCTGAGCAAGTCACTGATCTATGGGTATAGCAGTATGTCATTAGGAATCATTTTATTGCTATGTTCATTTACCAGAATAATGGTATTAGATTTTCCTCGAGGCTCATGACCTATCTAGTCTCAGGTTCTTGGCTACTTTAGCAGTGTGGGGTATAGGTTCCACTTCAAGGAGTGTGCCTTAAATCCAATCAGAAAGTTGTTGGTTACTCCTATAACATTGATGCCGTATTGTACCAGTCTATTTGTAGGCAGGTCTCTGTTGTATGTCTTAGAGTTTGTAACTGGGCAGTATTGATGATTACCTTCCCCTCAGGTAGTATGCAATATCTTCAAGTACCATAAACTCTAGTCAGTAGGAATGAGGTTTCTAGTTAGGCACCAACTCTACTTCTTTGTATTCAATGCCATGAGTTTTGTCTCCAGCAGTAGGGCTTTACCATCAGTTTGTGGAGAGCAACCAACAGCCTTAGCAATAGCTGCCATGTTTAGGTGGTTCCCCTACAATGCTTTATGTACTTACCCTGAAGATAATTTGATGCAAAACTTTTAATATTTTTATATATAAAATAATGTTTTGCATGTGAGGTCAGATGTGGAATTTTCTGCTTATCATATTATGGCAGGGCTTAAAAAGTTTTGTGTTTTAAATTATAATTTTGTGGTCTATATTTTAAGAAAGGAAAAGAAATCAACCTCAGTTTTGAAGTTTTGTTGGATTTTTGTTTTGTTTCTGTTTGTTGCCTGCAACAATGCTGAGTGATTAAAACATCATTTGTACATGAAATTCATTTAATGATTGAATAATTTTAGGAAAATGTAGAAGTCATGACAGTCATCCTGGACTTTTGGCATGGTTAGCCATGACATTTGTCAATATGGACTTTAGCAATAGCATCCTAAAATCAGCTCTGAATATGCTTAAGATGTTTATGAGCCCCACCCCTCACTAAAGAACTATGAGTTAATGAGTACTGAGAGAAAGAGTCTCAGTCTCTCTCTCTCTCTCTCTCTCTCTCTCTCTCTCTCTCTCTCTCTCTCTCTCTCTTCTTTCCTTCCTTTCTCTTTTTCTTCCTCCATTTTCCTAAAGATTATATTTTAACTACATATATACATCCCTATTCTCCTTCAAATTCATGGTCTCTTTTTCATCAATTGTTATTACATGCATATGTATATTTATATATACATATATGTTTCTAAATATAACCTAGTGAGTCCATGTAATGTTACTTGTTTGTATGTTTTGGCACTGGACAACTAATTGGTGTGCTTTTCCTGCTCCTAGCTTTAGACACTTGCCTATAGTTCTTTGTGTAGGGTTGAAACCTCATGGGCTTTCCCCCATGCTGTTTGGCATGTTCGTTGGTGTCCTCCTTGTTCAGCTTATGTTTGGGCAGTTGTGTTGGTGAGACTTCATGGGTGTAGCTTCTGATGTGGCTTAGCAGACACAATCTCAAGCAAATTCCCTGAGTCTGGCTCTTACACTGTCTCTGCCTCCTCTTCTACAATGTTCCCTGAGCAATAGGTATATGGATGTTTTATAGATCTGTTGGGATTTTATAGATCTGATTTTGGTTTTCTGTAGTGGTCTCTGTTGTTAAGAGAAGTTCCCTTGAAGAGGTGAAGGTGACATTATCTATGGACAAATGTTTTTACCACCCCTGCCACACACACAGACATACTTATGCCCATGCCAGCAACCAAAATTAAACTGAGTGGGTCACACACACATACACACACAAAAATCACAGGAGGAATGGTCTTATTGAGAGGAAGCTTTCTAGAGGTGAGAGTGAAAATGACTAGAATATGTATGTATGTATGTATGTATGTATGTCAGAGTATCATAAACGATATTTATGAGATCTCAGGTAGAGATATTAATAATGCAGTTAAATATTCACTTTTGGAATGCAGAAGAGATATGAGCTGGAGAAAAGCTGTTTTAGAATTACCAGCATATTTTATATTATATGAATACATAGAAATGAATAGAATAATTTTGCTACTAAGAGTGAAGTATGTAGAAAGGACTCAAAAAGGTGACAGAAGAAACCTTTGCAAGAAAACAAGGAAAGGTCAGGAGCTCAGAATACCGGGACCCTGTATGTAATGGAAACAGAGACAATGTTTCTGGAAAGAATGAATGTCAGAATTGTTAGTTTTTTGTAGGCATCTAAGTGCCCTAATAGAATTCTGGTGAATGTTCCAGGGAAGTAAGTGTGTGTGTGTGTGTGTGTGTGTGTGTGTGTGTGTGTGTGTGTGTGTGTGTGTGCATTTGTTTTCTCATGCGATAAAGTATCTTCAAAAGTATTCTGATAGGTTAATTTTTCTTCTTTATTTATAGGGTTATGAAGACTGGTTACGTCATAACTCAGATAATGAAGTAAACGGAGCTCCCGTTTATGTTGTTAGAAGTGGTGGCCTTGTAAAAACTAGATCAAAAAACATTCGGGTATGTATATGGAAAGTTATATAAAATTGTATTTTGGTGTTATAGTTTTAGTCTTAATTTTCTCTGTACATTTTTTATATATTATAAATCCTCTGTCTGTGTGTGTGTGTGTGTGTGTGTGTGTGTGTGTGTGTATCTATCTCAGTGGCTCAGTGGCAAGAGTACTTGCTTCCCATACTCGAGCTCCTGAGTTCATCTACATTGTAAAGCATACATACAAAGTAAAATATTGTGATAAGCCACCTATCTAGAACAGAATGAAAACAAATCCTTGCCCTTCACAATGTGTTGTAGCTAGAGTTTTCCTGCCTGGCCCACAGTTAGGAAAAATCTCTCTCACCTGCCAGTCCCACAGCTGCTCAGACCCGACCAAGTAAACACAGAGACTTATATTGGTTACAAACTGTATGGCTGTGGCAGGCTTCTAGCTAACTGTTCTTACAGCTTAAATTAATCCATTTCTATAAATCTATACCTTGCCACACGGCTCGTGGCTTACCAGCATCTTCACATGCTGTTTGTCATGGCGGTGGCTGGCAGTGTCTCTCTCTCAGCCTTCCACTTCCCAGCTTTATTCTCCTCCTTGTCCTGCCTATACTTCCTCCTGCCTGACTACTGGCCAATCAGTGTTTTATTTACTAACCAATCAGAGCAACACATTTGCCATACAGAACATCCCACAGCAATGTGTCTCATCACTTTTCTCCTAATTTCTTCTAGGTGGGTGATATTGTCCGTGTAGCCAAAGATGAAATTTTCCCTGCAGATTTGGTGCTTCTGTCCTCAGATCGCCTTGATGGTTCGTGTCATGTGACAACAGCTAGTTTGGATGGAGAGACGAACCTGAAGGTTTGTTCATGTGTATGTTTTGATATTACTCTGGGTGAATATAACGCTTCATGATTATAATTTTTCCTATTGGGGAAGTGATTAAATTTGTCCTGATGAAGTGGGTTCTGGTTTTTTTACTTTTTTTAAAGTTATTAAAACTTTTAAAAATTACAGAAGTTGTTGGTTTGAGACAATGGCTGTGTTGGTAGAGTACTTGTTACACAATACGAGCATCTGAGTTTGGATCCTAGCATCTCCTCAATAAAAAGCCAGGCACAACAGCACCTGCTTGTAATCCAGCGCTAGGGAGGTTTAGATAGGGATCCCTAGAGCTCGATAGCCAGTCTGACCAAAATGATAAGCTTTATGTTCAGTGAGAGACCCCATCTCAATGAGAAAGGTGGAGAGATTGAAGAAGACCCCTCGTCAACTCTCGGCTCCATACACACATGCACGTCTGACATCCGCATACTCATCTGCACAGACGGACACACAGACATGCATAAACATGTGTGCAAGTAAATTTTAAAATTTTAAAAGTTATGAAGTAAAAAGTATTATTGTGTGTTTAAGGGCATCTCACCCTGCCTTTGTTCATGTTGAAAGTAGAAATGGAAAATGTTTTAGGAAACAAAATCTTTTAATAATTTTGATGCTTGTTTTTTCTTTCTTTTTTTTTTTTTTTTTTTTAAACCCAGGCTGGCCTCAAACTTCTGACAATACTAAATACTAAATTCAAAATATTATAGATATGGACCACCATGTCCAGCTTAATGTCTTTTTAGTCAAGAAACAATTATAAATTTGCCCAATTTTCAGAGTATAATAAGGGGTGAAAATCCACATTTCTCCTACTAAATAGGATGTAATGAATCTTTAGACAATTGTGATTGCTAATGGACTCCATAGACAGGTAAATGCAGCAATTCGTCTGTCCTGCCTATTTCTAATTGTCTCTCCTCTGCTGTCTTAGCAGAGTGATCTGTAGTCTAGTGTGCCATAATTTCATCTAGAAGACATCGAAGCAGCTGAGATCTGAGGTCATATCTAGGTACACATTAATCCCTTTTCAATTTTTTTTTTCAGACGCATGTGTCAGTTCCAGAAACAGCAGTATTACAAACAGTTGCCAACTTGGATAGTCTCACAGCTGTGATAGAATGCCAGCAGCCAGAAGCAGACTTATACAGGTATGGTGTATTATTTGGTGAACTCATCTTCATTTACAGTTTCTATTAGAAGTAAATTTCTAATAGAATTTTATTAAATTTTTATTTAATAAAAATAAAATTTTTATTAAACTTATTAATTTTATATAAAAAATTCTGATAGCTCAGCTACTCTTAACAAGAACTTGTTTTTGTAATCATGAACATTAAAATAATTCTTTAAAAATTTTATTATTTATTTTGTGTGCATGTGCATATGTGTTTAGGCATGTGCATGCCACTGTGTCTATATGAAGGTTAGAGGATTACTTTCAGGGGTCTGTTTTCTCCTTCTAATATGTGAGTCTTGGGGAACTCAGGTTATCAAACTTGGCAGCAAGTGCCTTTATTCATGAGACATCTTGTTGGCCCTTAAAATGAAACTCTTACCTGATTTGGTAATAATATTTCTAATACCTTCAGCTAACGTGAGAAACAGAAAGCAGAATTTGATAAAATTCTAAGCAAAAGATACTAATTAAATTTTTTATATTAGATTGTGTGTGTGTGTGTGAGAGAGAGAGAGAGAGCGAGAGAAAGCGCTTATGTATGTGTTCATGTCGGTGTGTGCACCTGTGTGCACATGCCTGTAGAGACCAAAAATCAATGTGCAATGTTTCTCTATCATTTTCCACCTGATTTCTTGAGATAGAATCTCTTACTAACTTGGAGTTCATAGATTGGGCAAGGCTGGCTGGCTGGCCAATGAGCTTCTGGGTTCTGCCTGTCCCTGTCTCATCAGCATTGGGCTTAGTTAGAGGTGTGCACTGCTGCACCCAACTTTTATTTAGGTACTAAGAATCAAGCTTGATTCTCATGCTTGATAGCAAACTCTACTGACTAAGCCATCTTCTCAGCCCTGTAAATATTTTAGATAGGACATATTAAGTTGAGAGGAAAATGTTACCACCAACACTTACGTCATGACCCTGTTTTGGGTTTTAAGATAAGAGCTCAAATGTGTATATGTAAAGCCTAGAATGCATATATACTCCCAAACATTAACAGTATTAAATAGTGAGATTCCTAATGATTGTTGACTTAGTTTATTTCTTTGTTGCTCTAATAAACACATAACCAAAAGCAACTTGGAGAGGAAAGTGTTTATTTCATCTTACAGTTATAGTCCATCATGAAGGGAAGTCAGAGCAGGAACCTGGAGGCAGAAATTGGAGCAGAGACCATGAAGAACAGTGTTTATTGACTTGCTCCCCATGACTTTCCCAGTTTGCTTTTTTATTCAGACAAGTACCACCTGCCCACAGTGGCCTTGGCCCTCCCACATGAATTTGTAATCTAGAAAATGCTCCATAGATTTGCCTAGAGGCATTTTTCCCAGTTGAGGTTATCTTTTCCCAGATGACTCTAGCTTGTTCCATATGATAAAAACCTAATCAACAGAGCTGTTACTTCCTCTTTGCCAGCTTATTTTATCTGAATCAGTTTGTAAAATATGTATATGTGTGCTAGTGTATAGCTCATATTTCTGATCAGAAAGTAAGAATGATACAGTTGTTTATACTTTGGGGAAAAGAAGAAGTGAAGACAGGATAAGAGACTGCAAGAAGGGTTGGTGCAATGTAGGGCTGGCCTTAACACATACTGGAATGCCGGAATCAAGGTTAACAGCATAAGGAAAAAGAAAGCAAAGTCCTTTCTGGACTTAGCTTGGGAACAAAAACGAAAAACTGGATCAGATATAATTTCTTAAAGGTGTTCAGGGAAACACCAGATGAATTGGATCTAAATTTAAAGTCTAGGCTGGAATCAGGATACATAAACTTCTCTGGAACAAGGAGAATAAAAACATCACTCCCTGATATAAAGACCTGATGGAAGTAAAAATGAGAAATCAGAAAGAAATATGAAGTCAAATTCTTCATCAGATAAAAGATTTGGGCCTGGAATGAGAAGGGCAGTAGGGGACATTTGTAAGGGAATGCTGAAATTTATCTACTCCATGGGCATCAGGCATGCATGCATGTATGTGGTATGTAGACATATGTGCAGGCAAAACACACACACACACACACACACACACACACACACACACACACACACATACATATATATAAAACACAAAAATAATAAATAAATTTTTTTTTTAGAAATCTCTTTACCTAATGATTAACTTGAAGCTTTGTCCAGAATTTGCTTTTGACTGTAAGGTAGCTGTTCTCTTTAATTAACTGTATACTTATGCTATTTTCAGTTGTGGAAACTGGAGCTGAAAATCTAGACTGTGGAATCCATTATGAGAAGAGGTCATTCACCCTAGATTTTAGCCACCAAACATTATAAAGTTAAAAAGCTCAGGATTTTACTACAGGCTCGAGCTTGCTACTTTACCTCCACTACATAGTAATTGCTCGTTGAATATTTGTTGAATGAATAAAATAAATATTTGCTCTAGTTTCAGTGATCTGTAGGTCACAGGGAACTTTATTTAGTAAATTGTGGTAAAATATATAAACATTGTTATTGGCTAAGTCATCTATGTATTTTTATGTAGTAATTTATAAGTTATGATAAGCAGATTAATAATAATAGTGACATGTGACATTTACATGGACAATTTGAAAAGATTTCATTTGTTACTTCAATAATTAGAGGTGACAATAAAAATCAATTTTTAAAATTTAAGGTCTAACTTTAAAAAAATACTTTGTAGCACTAATACTGGATTATTTGTGTATATATAAAAGATATACTGGACCTGTGGCTCAGTTAGTTTGTGCTTTCCTAGCATCTGTAAGACCTAGCTTTTGTCCCCAGCACCAAAACAATAACAATAAAATTTTCATAAAAGGTTGATTAGGGGCTGGAGAGATGGCTCAGTGATGGCTTGCAACACAGTGATGAGGACTTCAATTTGTGTCCTAGTGCAAGCAACAAGCCTGATGTGGCCTCTTGTGCCTGTAATCTCAGTACTGTGGGGAACAGAGACAGGATAAAAGGTTGCTGGTAGCCTCCTTAAAAAACTGGAAGCTTCAGGTCTCAAGAAGAACCCTGCCTTAGAAATAAGACAGAGTGCTAGAGTGCCAGAGGACATCTGCTGCACTCCTGAACACAAATCTGCGCAAGCATGCGCACACAGGGATTTTGTTTCATTTGGCTAATAGTGCTAAATGTATTCTGCCCATTGATTTCATAAGTTATCTATTTTTGTGATATGATACATTCTTCTACAGATTTATGGGACGAATGATAATAACTCAACAAATGGAAGAAATTGTAAGGTAAGAATAAATCACATTATCTAATTGTAATTGGAAACTGGTAGAGGGACCAAGAGTCAAAGGGGATTAAGTAAGTAAACAGCATATCATAGGAACCATAAAACAACATGTCATCAGCTAGTAGGTTTTAGCAGCAACAAGTCAAGATGAAACACTCCATGTAATGACATAAAAGTAATTACTTAGGTTTATATATTTGTATTTTTTGTTAGTCCTTGGTAGAAACTTTTAAATGAAACACTGCTGATTTAATTCAGATGCTTTTTAAGTCATAGCCCTCAAAGGCAAGTGAGGTGGGGTTCAGTTTGTGGTCCAGCAAGTGTACCATGTGTGAAGTCCAGGGTTCAGTCCTCCTACTACAAAAAAGTTTTTAAAAAGATGCATGTTTTACATAATGTTTAGCAAGTGTAAATCCCCATGGTTGGCTTTATTTCACTGTTACTGAGTACAAGCTAAACTATTTAATGACCAATTCGGAACTGTTGTACTCATTCTTCTGTTTGGTTTTTTGGCTGATTGATTGTTTTGATCTGTTTTCCAACATAATTTGGCATCTAAATAAGAGGCTTTGAGTCAGTTTAAAGATTTGTTAATAGGATGAGATTACATTTTTACTTATGACCTGAAGGCTTAACTTAAAATCAATCTTGGAATCAGCTGTTAAAATCTGACTTTGCCAACTCTTTTCTAGGGACACATTCATTGTGTATTGGCTACATGAAATAAGTCAGTAGCAGAAAGAGTTGAGCATTTTAAAGTTAGATCATCAAGATACGCCATCAAAATGTCAAGTATCAGTACTGATTCATGTTTTAATGAACATCATAGAAGCACCTTCAATAAACTTTAATAACACACACACACACACACACACACACACACACACACATATGATCCCTGATGAATAACTGTGACTAAGTTTTATTTTTATTTCTGTATGGAAATAGTGAAAATTTTGTGAATACACCGTCTGAATTGTGTTCTAAAGTATTGTGTCTGGTAAAGGAACGTAACACTTTGGAACACCCACTCCTGTGTGGCTGAAAGAAACTGTGTTCTTTACTGAAGCAGCTGCAGTTAACTGTTGAATTGTCTTTTATTTGGAAGCTGTCCTGGTGTCATTTATTTTCATTGTTAGAACCAATACCATGATAGGGAATAGAAAAGAATAGGAAGGGAATATTGAATGGCACGTGGTTCTTTTAGTGATGAAAATATTTTCAGTCCAACAGGTATTTTGTAGCTGCTGAGTAGTTAGCCGCCACACCAGTTCTGGGATAGCAGATATGAGTACTCACCAAAAAGGGCTCTGTAGTAAACAGAATTGGTAAACATGTCCCAAATGCCTGGCCTTCCTGGTTCAGTGAATTTTTTTCCCCATGGTATTTGGGTTTGCTGATATTTTCATAAATGATTCAGGTTTTGTTTGATTTGAATAAATAGTTGTTGTATGTTTCAGAAAAGCTTAAGGACTCTCAACAAAATAAAGACCTTTTAACTTATCCATGACAAACTCTTAATCATCTTGCTATCATTAAAAAAAATTTCCTTTGTAGTTATTCCTTGTCATTTTATATCTTCTTTATGGAGAGAAATTCAAATGGCAAGAAGGTCTGTACCTGAGAACTGTGCAGTACAAGTAGTCAGCTGGTGTTTTGTGAGCTTGCCTATAAAACACCAACATTTTATACATTACGTTTTATAATCTAACATAATTTTAATTATGCAGAACTCATGCACTTACATTGTGCAGCTCTAATGATAATTTTATGTTTGCGCTGCATTTCAATTCTGTATTTTCCTTTCTAAAACTGATGGTTAATTTTGCTAACAAAATTTAAATTTTGTCTTCTGCTAAATTTTAACTTTATTTTGTGTTTAAATTTTTTGACATTGATGGCTTTGTGACTTTATTTAAATGTATAATTTTCTTTTAAAGTCACAAGCTTTAATTTAAATTTTTTTATTTTTTTGTGTATGGCTGTTTTGCCAGCGTGTATCTGAGCACCACTTAAGTGCCTAGTGCCTAAGGTCAGAAGTGGATGTGGGAGCCCTTGGAACTGGAGTTACAGATGGTTGTGAGCTGCCTTGTCAGTGCTGGGAATCAAACCAAGGTCCTTGGCAAAAACAGCCAGCTCTCTTAACTGCTGAGCTATCTCTTTAGTCCTACCATTAATTTTAAAATGACTGAAATGCCAAAGCAAATGTTGGTTGTTAAAGTAACTAGCACTATTAGCCTAGGAAGTATTATAGTAGCTGGGATTTTTATTTTATATGGAAACTGTTGTAACTATAGGTTAAGTACCTCTGACTGAAGATGCCTTTTAATTTAATTGAAAATTTAATATATTTAGTGCCTTTTGGGTTTCTTTTTCCCTTAGACCTCTGGGACCAGAGAGTCTCTTGCTTCGTGGAGCCAGATTAAAAAATACAAAAGAAATTTTTGGTTTGTACATCCTTAAGTTTTTTTTAATTGTTTGTATGTTTTGTATTGGTGCTTTATATGAAGCTTTGCTCTTACATCTGAGGTGCTGGATACTGAACTCAGGGTCTAACACACACCAGGCATGCACTTTGTATAGCACTAGACAGCATCCCCAACCTCTGTAAAGTAGCTTTGAAAGCATAGCATTTCATGGTTCTTTGATTGCATAATATTACTTTATTCAATGTAATACATGATGATCTTCTTTTAAAGTCCGTTTTAATATCGTATTTTGTTGTTGTTACTCTCTTCTTTGAGTAGTGCTAGATTCTTCCTCCTATGTTTGTGGATACTTGTGAAGCTGATTATTAAGAAAATGATTCTAGTATACTTCAAGTAACATGGGTTCAAGTCAATGCTTTCAGTATCATGGTGATAGTCCACACTTTTCACTTCTGTTACAATTATCCTTCAGTTGAATTAACAGCTGTGGACTCATTCATTCTCATATTTTATGTATCCAACAAATTCTTACTGAGCTCTGAATGTGGAACCAGTACTATTGGGGGCATACACTTTAATTCTCAAAAGGAAGAATAATAGTGTCCTTGCCTTGTAGAAACCCGGCAGAAAGGGCCACAGATTATATTCTCCCTTTCATTTGAAATACCTCACATGGGTATATCCATAGTGATGAAGCCCTAGGTGATTTCCAGGGGTTAGAGAATAGAAAGAAAGCGGGATATATATTTAATGGGTCCAGCATTTTTTTTTAAAAGTGATTAAAGTATTCTCTAGTTAGATAGAAAAGATGCATTAACAAAATTGTGGTGAATGTGTTATCACCACTGAACTATACGTGTTAAATGGCTAGGTGGTAAGTTGTATGTTACGTGTATTTTGCCACCATTTTTTAAAAATTAAAACAATGTTCTGACATCAGAAACGAGACTAAACCTCCAGGGTTTTAGATTTTCTCATGGGACATTGAATCTTATATGACTTTCTAGGGGTAATCTTTTTGTTCTTGTGACTTTAAAGTAGGGGTTGAAATTAAGCAGCTTTAGAAGCATTTGTGTATTTGAATGCTTTTAGCTGGGTCTACTGTTTGTCTCAGCATCCTCTTCTCTATTGTTTCATTCTGCTTTTTCTTTCCAATTGCATGGTTGTAGTGCCATTTTTCATTTTAATTATGAACCCTGAATTTAAAGAATGATTTTTATTTTAAAATTCTAGACAAATACTTACTGAAAAGACACAATTGGTCAGTTCTGTGTTGTTTCTTTAATCTCACTCTTTAGGAATTTGAGGGAATTTTGAAGTTTGGTCTTTCCTAATTAGTTTCATCCCACAGTTTTAGTCCCGCTATTGTGACCATATTCTCTCTCATCTCAGGGTCTCACATAGCATTTCCTTGTGCTTACTTCGTTTACTCAGAATCAAGACATTAATATTATTCTTCAGTGCTTCAGGAATGACATATAGACTCTAGATTCTGGCATTCTGGGTCTTTAGCTTAATCCATCGTTTCCGGAACTTGGTTTTTTTTGTTTTTTTCTGTTTTTACTGTTATTAACACCATTAGCGCCATATGCAGTAGTCGTCTATTATTCCCACCCCATTCTTCCATTAGTCTCAACTCTTAATATCTTCCATCCAAACATCTTTTGTAACTGAGAAACAAGACTCCATGCAGGTTCAATGTCTAGATTGACAAAATTTTAGGTTTAGCAGGTCTGTAAAAGCTGTGAAAAGACTCAAGGAAAAGCCAAGTTATACAAACTCTCAGACAGTGCTTTTTCAGTAAAGCTCTTGTGCTAGTGAGTACATTTAAAGTAGCAGTTTTATTTTATAGGTGTGGCTGTGTACACCGGAATGGAAACTAAGATGGCGTTAAATTACAAGAGCAAGTCACAGAAACGATCTGCAGTAGAAAAGTAAGAAAACTCTTTTCACATAATTATACGTGTATCTTACTTATGTATGTATAACCTACATACAAATAGATATTTCAGGAGCTAGAGAGATGACTCAGTGGTTAAGAGCACTGTTACTCTTGCAGAGGACCCGGGTTTGGTTCCCAGCACCCACATGGTGGCTCACAACCATTTGTAACTCCATTTCAAGGGATCTCCATGGGCATTAGGTATACACACAATGCAGTTACATGCACATAAAATAAAAAATAAACAAATCCTTTAAAAAGGTACTTCATATTACATATACAAAATGATGTTAGATAAGGATGATGTCTTATGATTTTGTATATACTTAGAATTTTTCATGGTGTTGACTGTTAGTAAGTGCTAAAATATGACTAAATATAGTGTAGAGTATGAGGCAATAGCTCTGAGTAAAATACTTTCTGTACAAGCATTAGGACCTGAGTTCTGATCCTTATCACCCACCTAGAAAGCTGGTGTGGTGGCATGTGCCTGTAACCTGCTGAGTGGAGACAGGAAGATCCCAGGGGCTTGCCAGGCAGCCATTCTAGCAGACATAGTGAACTCTGGGTTTATTGTGAAACCTTGTCTCAAAATACAAGGTGCAAAACAAGATAGCAACCCTAAGCTTCTACCTAACATGTATCTGTCTACATAGCCATGCAAAACTACATACAGGCACACATACCCAAGCACACAAGTAATGTTGGGCCATGTGTGATGAGGGCACTCCAGTAAGGTCATGAGTTTGAGGCTACCATGAGTTACTGGCAATAGAAAGTGACCACAAGCAGGTCAGAATTGGCAGTGAATCCAGTCCTGAAGACAAACTGGGGGAAGGAGGGGCGAAGTAGCATAAGTAAGATGGGAAAGCATTTTATTTCTCTACTGGGTTGAAATGTCAGAGAACAAGGTTCAAAACTAGAAGAGAGCCTAGAAAGTTAGGGGGAAATGTGTAAGACAGCATAGGAAGTAGTCAACTGGACTTGAAAACCTGTACATAAAAGCTGCCCAAATTTTCTTATATGACTGATAAAACTGTATAGGTGCAAGTTGGCAAGAAACAAGCAATAGAACCCAGAGAATGCTGAGAAAAGGAGAATTTTACTTTGACCAATTGCAGTGACATTAGGTGCTTAAAGTTAAGTGCCCACTAGAACAAAAATCAACACTCTTCTGAGGAACATGAAAAGCTAGACTCTACAATCCATTATTTATAATACCCAGGAAGATCTTTTTAATAAAGGCAAGGGAGCAGAGAGGTTTTGTCAATAAGAGGACATGCACCAGGCCATGGACTCAGTCTCCAGCATCCAAAAATAATGATTATGATTGAATAAATATGAAAAAGGGTTATAAAGACTTTTAGAAGTCATAGAAATCTTCATGATCTGAACTTAAGCAAATAATTGATAGACAAAAAAGCATAGCTCCTAAATGAAAAAATTAATGAATTGAACTTCATCTAAATTAAAAATTGTCTACTTCTAATAGACGAAGTTCACCTAGTTTCAGATTAGTTGTTAGAACTATGTATGAGTCAAAGCATAGGTCTTCATAATCTATATACTCGTTACTTCAGTATCATTTCTCAAACCCTCTTGAAAGTATTGAGACAAGTTACAGACTGGGGGAAAATGTTTGCAAACCACAGACTTAAACCAAACAGTAACACAAAGATTCAGTTAGATGTGATCAAAAGCACATTTCATCAAAGGAGTTGTAGGTGGCAGGTGAGTAGACAGAGATGTTCAGTCAACATCATTGTCTACTAGAGAATATCACTGCAGTGAGGTTAACTCACTGTTTAAGGAATAAGACTAAAAGAGTAGTAATAATAAGTACTAGGAGGAGGCAGAGGAACCAGATCTCATACATTATTGTTAAGAATACCAGATGATGATATTCCCATTTGGAAGATAATTTGGCAGTTTCTTTCCCTTAGCAGCTTTAGTTATAACAGCAAGAACCTGGGACACTGCCCCTTGTCCATACGTGGGTAACAGTTGATCAGAAAATCTGGTACAGCTATGTCATAGAGCACTATTCAGCAAGAAAAAGGATTTATATTACTTGCATCGGCCAGAACAGGCTGCAGAATTGTTATCCTTGGTGAAAAAGCGAGTTCAAAGATTACATACTGTATGTTTTGAGTTGTAGAACATTTTCAAAATTATAAAACTATATAGGTTGGGGACAGATTATTGCTGCCAGCGGACAGAGATTCAGTATGGAATGAGTGATAAAGAATGATGGGAGCTGGAGAGTTGGCTCAGTGGTTAAGAAAACTTGTTGAGCCAGGTGGTGGTGGCACACGCCTTTAATCCCAACACCTGGGAGGTAGAGCCAGGAAGATCTCTGTGAGTTCAAGGCTAGCCTGGGCTACCAAGTGAGTTCCAGGAAAGGTGCAAAGCTACACAGAGAAACCCCATCTCGGGGGGGAAAAAAAGAGAATACTTGTTGATCTTGCAAAGGACTTGGGTTTGGTTCCTGCACCCACATGGTGCTCACAACCATCTATAACTCCAGTTCCAGGGGATCTGACACCCTCTTCTGACCTTCACAGGCACCAGGCATACATGTATATACATAATATGCGTGCAAAACACTCATACATATAAAATAAAATAATTTTAAATTTTATTTTTTTGAGGCAGAGTCTCTCTATGTAGCCCTGGATGACCTGGAACTCACTGTGCAGACCAAGCTGATCTTGAACTCACAGAAATCCACCTGCCTGCACCTTCCAAATGCTGGGGTTAAAGGCATGTGCTATACTACTCTGGTCCCTAGATAAATACATTTTTAAAAGTGATAATGGGATAGTTCTTCATAATGGCAGTTAATCTGTATGTGGGTTTAATTTCATACCAGTAAAATCAGATTTTGTAAATGTGAAGCTTAATCCAGTCTAATTCCCTGTAACATTCCTGGTTCTGATATTGTACCACAGCTGCATAAGATGCCACCATTGAATTGGGGGTGTAGCTCAGTGGTTGAGTATGCTGCATAGTGTAAGCCTCCAGGTTTGATCCCTATCATCCCTCTTTTAAAGATGTTCTTTAAAGAGGTATTCATGAAATTGCAAGATAAAAGAACCACAAAACCAAAACAACAAAAATTAAATGGGTAATAGGGATGGAAGAAAGGATGAATGGAGTAAGAATGGTAGCACACTAACAGTTGTTGACACTATGTGGTACACATGAAGATTCCTTATTGTGTTCACTTTATTTGTATGTTTCAAGTTTATTTATCGAGATTTTGGAGTCAGTTATATGATCATGGGTTATTTGTTTTATTCTTTTGAACCAAATACTTTGATATTTTAAAATGTGAGCAGCCCTGTAATTGAAGTACCAAATAATGCTATGCCTAATACATGGACATCAAGTAGGAAAAGAGACCCTTCTTGTGCCTTTACTTCCCATGAATTCACATAGTAATATTGTACTAGACTTTGTGTCCTAGGAGAGTGGAAGAGCAAATATTTACATAGTTAGGATAAAGCTTGGTTTTGACCAGTTGTAGATTTCTATTGTGGTCTCCATCTGCTGCAAAGAGAAGCTTTTTTGATGAAAGGTGAGAACTACCTTCTCTGTGCATAGGAAAGGTATTCAGAATGAAGTTGGACATTATACTGGTTTAGAAAAATGGTAGTAGTAGGTTCTTCTCTAGGGTTCATGACTCATTAGCTACAGATGGCAATGTTTACAGTACTAAATTGTACTGTATGAATTCCCTCCTACTGAGCAGGCCTTAAGTCCAATTATATGGTTGCTGGCAAACCCCAAGATAGAAGTGCCACCATTGTACTTTTGGATATGTCTTGCTGTGTTGTTAGGATTCCTAGGCTTTCAAATGGGTTGCTGGTAATTAATTATGTCTTATTTAATGGTCATTATAAAAAAATAGACTGTCCTTTAAAACAGCTATAATAAAATCTTATATATTTTGATATATTTAATACAAGTATTAATTTCAAAGCAAATGAACAGAATATATTGATATGTTTATATTCTTTTTCTTGCTTTAGATCAATGAACACATTTTTAATAATTTATTTAATAATCCTTATTTCTGAGGCCATCATCAGTACTATCTTGAAATATACCTGGCAAGCTGAAGAAAAATGGGATGAACCTTGGTATAACCAAAAAACAGAACATCAAAGAAATAGTAGTAAGGTATTATGTGTTATTCATAATTCAACTTTAAGGAAACTTTTTGGGGACAGTTGATGCTTTGATGGGAAGGGCCATGGTGACCTTATCACAACATTGGTATTGACAAGTGTCTTTGCAGAAGAACACTCAGCATGTTAGCAGTGGTGTACTTTCCCTGGTTTAGGGACTAAACTTTTTTGTGTGTTCCTAGTAGCATGGTTTGAATAATTAGATCACAAAAATGTATATGTCAATGCATGTGCATTCCACTTCAGTATTACAAATTAAGTGCTTTAATATTCATTTTTTGTACCTTATAAATGAATTAAAGAACACATTTATTTTCATTCATGTCTGAATAATTCAAGAAGTCTTAACAGTCTTGATGTATCAAGAGATTTAACCTACAATTTTGGCAAATAATCATTTTCTAAATTTCCATTTAAATTAAAATGTACATATTAGAAACCATCTTGATCCCAGGAGAAAACAAAGCAGATCAGTATAGGACTGTGTTCCAGTATCATGTACATTTCACAGAGTGCATATTGAAAAGCAGCTTTGCTATGCTATTGTTGCAGTCTGTCCATGTAATCTGTGTTCTTCAGTTTCTATTTCTTTAAAATTCTCCCTAAAATTGTGTTCCAATATGTCTATATTACACTCATATCTTAGTCACCCATGATCTTTGAACAGTCGTCATAGGATGGCTAGAACACGGGACAGAGTATGGTTATAATTTGGTGTTTTAATCATGCCAGATAATTTCAGACAAATAACAAATTGAGCTATTGGAATTTAACTTTTACTTTAACCAGTAATCTAAGTAAACGGAAATGCAATATTAAAACAATTTAATCAATGAATTTCAATTCATGCTATTAGTTTACCTCAGAATATAGTTGATAGTTTACTTAGACAAGAACCTTCTGATAATTCTTATGTATGTTATCATCAAATAATCATTTCTCTCTCTTTTTTCTAGATTCTGAGATTTATTTCTGACTTCCTTGCTTTTTTGGTACTCTACAATTTCATCATTCCAATTTCTCTATATGTGACAGTTGAAATGCAGAAATTTCTTGGATCATTTTTTATTGGCTGGGATCTTGATCTGTATCATGAAGAGTCAGATCAGAAAGCTCAAGTCAATACTTCTGACCTGAATGAAGAGCTTGGACAGGTGAAGATGATCCTGAAATTTTCATTTTATGAGAGAATTACATGTAAAGAGACTGACATAATAGAAAATATTATAAAGCTTATACCAAAACACCTTTTACTTTCCTTCAGCTAAATTCTTACTCCCACTTTGTCTTAGTGTCTTTCTTCCATTATTTACCAGTATATTTCCATATGATATTTTATCATGATTTAAAATTTTTAGACATTATCAGTTATGGAATAGATCAATTACTAGGGCTAGAGAGATGACCCAGAGATCAAGAGCACATACTTTCAGGGGACTTCAGTTCCTAGCATTCACATTGGGTGTGAATTCAAATTCAAAATTACCTCTAACTCCATCTCCATAAGATCTAGTGCCTTTGGCCTCTACAAGTACCTGCAGTTATGTGCATTACCCACACACAGACACTTATGCATACACATCATTTAAAAAAAGGAAAGGAAATCTTTAAAGGGGGGGTAACTATCACTTTATCATTTTGTACACATACCCAAAAACTTGCCCACTTTGCCTACTCTGATGTTGTTATAATTTGACATCTAATAAATATTTACATTATGACTCATAATATTGTTTTCAAACTCTTACTTCCTAATTTATTCTTTGTAATACTATAACTATATTTTCTTTATGCATTTTATCTCCCCTGGAGTTAATTGCTGTTTCTTTCCTTGCTTAGCTCAAACAAGTCTTCACAAATTTATTTACCATCTCTGTGTATTCAAATATGTCAGTTAATGTAGGATCTGCCTGCCCTACCCCTATGTGTAATTTGGGTTTGGCTTTTTTTGTTTTCTTTTTGAGATGGGACCCCATTTCTTGCTGCCCAAGCTATGCTTAAACTTCTGAGCTCATCCGGTACATACCTTTAATAAAGCCCAGCACTTGGAAGACAGAGGCAGGTGGATCTCCATGAGGCCAGCCTGTTCTCCATAGTGAATTCCAGGACAGCCAGAGTTACATAGTGAGACCTTGTCTTAAAAAAAAAAAAAAAAAAAAAAAACCCTGACCTCAAATGATTTTCCTGTCTCAGCCTTCCCAGTAGCAAAGACTACATCTGTAGGCTGATATTGGGCCCTGTGCAATAAATTATTTTACACAGTAGACTTCCTATGTCTCAAGTATTGTCATTAACCTTTATTGTCCCCAAGACTATGGACCTTAATTTTCCCACTTTAATTCTTTGATTTTGTACATTGATCTTTTATTCTGGAATCTCATTGAACTTATTTATTAGTGCTAATAAATTTTTTAAGTGAAGTCCCTTGAATGATGTATATGCAAGGTCATTTGATATGCAAATGGAGATAACTTTCTCTTTTTTTTCCCCAATCAGGATAACTTGCTTCTTTTTCCTGACTAGAAATTTCAGTACAGTGTTGAGTAAAACATAAGAACAGACAACCTTGTCTTATATCTCTGCTTATAGGAGGAAATCACTCAGTATATTACCAAATTTTGAAGAAGCTCTTATCATAGTATGTTAAGTGTTTTTAATCATAAAGAGTATTGGATTTTTATCAAGTGATTTTTCTGTATCTGTTGAGATGCTCATTTTATTAATAGAATAAAGGACACATATCAGTCTGATAATTTGTACACATTAGGCTATTTGGATTCCTGAGATGTCTCATACTTGTGATATATAATCCTTTTTATATGTTTCTGGACTTAGTATACATGTATGTGCATATATATTCATGAAAAATACTGGTCTGTAGTTTTGCTTTTGTTTTCTTGTGATAGCTGCCTTCTTTTCTACTTTTTTAGTTTTATTTTTATTCTTGTTGTGTATACATGTGTATGTGTTTATGTGTGTGTGTGTGTGTGTGTGTGTGTGTGTGTGTGTGTGTGTGTGTGTGTGAGAGAGAGAGAGAGAGAGAGAGAGAGAGAGAGATTTGAGAGAGTACATTTCTGTTTGTATGATTGGAGGCCAGAGAGGGTCCTCCCCATCAATCTCCACTTTGTTCCTTTTGAGACAGGGCTTTCCCATGAACCTGGAGCTTGAATTTTTCAGCTGGTTGGCAGTCAGCAAGCTCCATCGGCTTCCCTGCCCCGCTCAGTGCCGGGATTACAGTCATTCAGGGGTGCCATTCTTGTTGGAGCATCAGTTGTTCTCTGGAGCCCCACTGCCTCTCTTTTCAAAAGACTTCTCTAGCATCATTACAGTAGTACATCAGATTCTCACCATAAGTTCGCTGTCAAGACTTCACTGGTGTATCCTTCCCTTTCAGAGTTCATTTCCTTGGATCAGCCTCCAAGAGTAATAAAATAATTTGTCTTACATACCTTTTAAAACATGTTATTTTTAACAGTTATTTTTTTACTGTATTTGTTTCCTGTCCTCAATTTTAACTTCCTGTCCTTTACAGACTCCTTCTCATCTCTAACACATTATTTTGTTCCTTTCCCTGTTTTTATACCGTTTCTCTTGGCCCCTGTTCACTTTCTAGTAAGCATCCCTTCTACCCTTAATAAGTGTCAAATCATATTATTTTAAATGTACTTGTCCAAGAGATAGACAAGAAATTCTTATACCTTATTCTTCGTCACCTCTGCAAATCAATGTGTCGCAAAAGATATATATGTAATGTTTAAATATTTTAATTTGCTTTATTTTCTTTACATCAATAATAGCTTCTTAGATTGTAAGAATCTCAGCTTTGGTATATTGATGTTAATAGACTAGACTTTAGAAAACAGGAGAAAGTTTTTCTTGTTCAACACTGACCCATGACCACAAAGGTTTCTTTTGTTCTGTTTCTCTAGGTGGAATATGTGTTTACAGATAAAACTGGAACACTGACAGAAAATGAGATGCAGTTTCGAGAATGTTCAATTAATGGCATGAAATACCAAGAAATCAATGGTAGACTTGTACCTGAAGGACCAACACCAGACTCCACAGAAGGAAGCTTGTCTTACCTTGGTGGTTTATCCCATCTCAACAACTCAGCACATGTCACAGCTAGTTCTTCCTTTAAAACCAGTCCTGAAAGTGAAACTGAACTAGTAAGCAGTTTTCCAATTAGTGATTATGGGTTCCTATGAATTAATTTTCTTCAATAGATGGACTCGGGAAGTTTTTATCAGTGAAGCAAGAAGTCTGCGTTTGAAATCGATGTCTTGATTTAGCACCATGAAATACTATTCTGGGACTGTAGTTACAGCACAGTTTAGCTTGTCATTGTTAAGCATCTTCACTGCTTTAGCTTGGTTGTTAGTAAATGCTGTTACTGCCCTGAAGTGAAAAAGAGAAAAAATAAGTATTTTGTTCTTTCTAAGACCTTACTTCTTTCCAAGTACATAGTCTCCCTAGCTTGCAGTTTGTTTAGGCTTTCTAAAGAGATGCACTTATACCAAAGGTTCCTAAAACAGTATGAGATTAAAATCTCAAATTTGCAGTTTTCACTCAGGCAGCCAGGTCATTAGCACTTTTGTTTTAGCTCTCAGGGTCTTAGGTCTGGTTTATGTCCTATGTAGTGTTGGGAAAGTGCTTAGGTCATTAATATTATGTTTCTACAGATCAAAGAGCATGACCTCTTCTTTAAAGCAGTCAGTCTTTGCCACACTGTACAGATCAGCAGTGTGCAAACTGATGGCATCGGTGATGGTCCCTGGCAGTCCACCCTCGCACCGGCGCAGCTCGAGTACTACGCATCTTCACCAGATGAAAAGGCTCTAGTGGAGGCTGCGGCAAGGTAATTGAGCCTGATTCTTCGGATCCTCAGAGAATACTCTTGAAATAAATGTTAGAATATTAGAGAGCTGTCATGTAAAATTCTCAGATGTAAATTTAAGGTTTTTTAAATGATCTTGTATGAATTTTGTGTGATAAAACTTGTGAAAATACCTTGCATTGTTTTGGATGTAGTCTGACCTGTCAAATTCTTAAAAATAGTGTCATATTATTCAAAGGCAGTACTGTAAATACACCTTGAACTTTCAATTAATGTACCTTCATTCAAACCAAGTTATAAAGGTGTAGTGTGAAATATGAAATATCTTCCTTTAAATATTGTTATTTCTTTGTTCCTCTTATTCCCAGAGCTGGTATTATATTTATAGGCATTTCTGAAGAAACTATGGAGGTTAAAGTACTTGGAAGACTCGAAAGGTAAATTCTTTCAAATATGTTATAGTCCACAATAAGTATAAATATAGGATAGGAATCAGCAAATTATGGCCTATAGGCCAGTTCTGTCCTCCAGTCTGTTTTTGTATAGCCTACAAGCTATGCTAGATTGCATTTAGAGTTGTTTAAGAAAGAGAAAGACAGTAAGGGAGAGAAGGAGAAAGAATAAAATAGCTGTGGTAGTATGGAGGTACAGCCAGATGGTCACAAGTTAAAGACCTGCCTAGGCCATAGAGTGAGGCTAGCCCAGGAAACTTAGTAAGACCCTATCTCAAAATTTTAAAGAAAGGCTGGGGATATAGTTTAATAGTAAAACACTTGCCTTGCATACAAGAATAAGTCCTAATATACAGCATACATATATACATATACATATATGTGTGTATGTGTGTATATGGCCTGTAATGTCTAAAATACTGTCTGATTCTCTACGTAAAACACTTGCTAACCTTTTCTCTAGAGTGATGTCAGTATTATATTGTATCTCATCACAATTACAACAGTATGCTGTGTTTTAGTTTACTGTTTACTGAGTTTCCTTATAAATTTATATTAAACACTTGAGGTTGAGATTCCATAGGTCGTTGGATGAAGAAAACTTCTTTGTGTAATCTTTTGTTTTTGAAGTACTGGTGATCAAAAGCAGTGTCACAGGAATATTAGGCAAATGCTATGCCATAAAGCTGCACCTCAGCACAGGTTCCCTTGTATTGTCTATGAATTTATGCTCAAGCATTTAGGAACACCAGTCTACTTAACCTCTTTCTACTGTAATGAGTTAGTCCGTGCCTGTTGCTGTGAACCTTAATCCTTGCTAGCATTTCCATACTAAAGAAGTAAGGCCCATTCTGAAGCTACTTTCATGAAGGAACCTGTTGTCTACTTATGAGCATTCATTGCTTACATATCCTTATAGAATTCTCTCCTGGAAAATTTTTCAAGCCCCATTTCAGTTATCCTCCTAAGTTTCCTCTCAGTTCTCTAAAGAGGCATTTGCTCCCTGATCCTCCACCCTCACACCTGCCCCAAGTTCAGAATTGTTGCTGACAAACCTCTAAGACTGCTTAAAGGTTGAATTCTAAGATGTGTTAGGACAGAAAATGATGGAGAATCAGTCAGCTGGGCAGAGCTGGGCTCCTGTCCTTCTCTACTGCTTACCAGCTTATTGGATATTAATCTCTTTAGTAGTCTTCATCTTGGCTTCTGTGGGAATTAAATGACCCAAGGTCTGTAAAGTATTTATTAGTTGTTGAGGACTTAATGCCATCTCCCTTGTGTCTAGTAATATTATTGATAATTTAGAGCCTATCCTCATAATAATGCACTTCTAGTTTCTTACTTTACACTTGTATTTTATCCTTTATTCTTTCTAGATATTCACATTATTACTCTAAAAATTAAGGATTATCTTTCTTAATTTTTAGGTACAAATTGCTTCATATTCTGGAATTTGATTCAGATCGTAGGAGAATGAGTGTAATTGTTCAGGCACCTTCAGGTAACCAATCTAAGCTTTTATGTATATTTACTTACCTAATAAAGAGCTTGATAACTAGTTATTTTTCCTTTTAGGTGAGAAGCTTTTATTTGCTAAAGGAGCAGAATCTTCAATTCTCCCTAAATGTATAGGTGGAGAAATAGCAAAAACCAGAATTCATGTAGATGAATTTGCTTTGGTAAGTACAGATAGCTATTATTTAAAAATGAAAAAAATAAAAAGAAACTTCAAAAATATATTTGTGAAACAGTTGAGGTTTTTTCTTTTTAATAGATTATCCAAGTTCTGAAAATTCTGTAGCTCTTAGTTCTTTTGCATTAAATGTTGGCTCTTTATTCTTGTTGTAAAAGCTGATTTTTAATCTGGTAACATGTAATTCTCTTCTAAAACCTGTTTTGGTAGGGACTTCTGGTTGTGTGTACCACTCAAACTGTGCCCATAGCAAACATGAGTGCTTGGGGTCTAGAGAGAGGCACAAATCCTTGGGTTTCATCTCCTGAATGGCTGTGTCTCTCTTCTTTTTCTTTGCCTCTTTCCCATCCTTGCCTCTCCTTCTCTGTCCCTTCCCCTTGCCCCAGTTTATCCTGGGCCAGTGGTTCAAAGGCAGAAACAAGACAAGAGCTTGAGTCCAGAAATTCAAAAGCAACTGGGACAACATAATTAGACTCTGACTTTTAAAGAAAAAAAAATTAGAGGGTGTGGCTCAGTGGTAGAGGACATATTAGCATGACAGAAAGGGACTTAGTAAAAGAATATTCCAGGGATGTGGAGAAACTAGAGATTGTACACATTGTATAAATCACACAGCCTTTGAATAGTTTGGCAATTTTTCAAAAGATAAAAATGGAGTTTATAACCTGACCTAGCTATATATACCTGAGTGGTGTACACCAAAGAGAAGGGAAAAGATATGACCACATATGATCTAATAAGTGGACGTTCATAGTCCAAACTGGGAAAAGCCTAGATGCCCAACTGATGAATGGATAAAATATGATACAGCTATGTAATGGAATATTGCTTAGTCATTAAAAGAAATGTAATACTGATGTCTGATATATGCTACAACATGGATGAACATTGATAAGATTGCCGAAAGAAGCCAGTCAAGAGAGACCACACATTATGTAAAAGATCCAGGATAGGCAGACTCATGGAAAACAAGTGAGTGGGTGCCAAAGGCTGCTGGATGAAAGGAAGAGAAGGGAGTGTCTCCTAATGGATAAGGAATCTATTGGAGGTGAAATATTCTGATAGTGGTAGTGATCATACAATTTTGTAAGTATACTAAAAAACACTGCATGGCACTGTTTGAAAGAGTTAATTTTATGTAATGGGACTCTAATTTAAAAGGAAAACTATAGGAGCCTCATCCAAAAGCAGAAAACCTGAATTCAGGATCTCTCATGCCTAGACTTCTATGTGTGCTGCATACTTACCTCTCCTTACCTACTTCTGTTACTGGTTTGGGGTTGCCTATAATCTACCTACTGTGATTTCTAACAAGCAAAGGCTTTATTGTCTAGAACAGCATCCACATAGTGTTGTTGCAGAATGAATTAACTAGTACATATATTAATATCTGATGGCATCTTGAATGTTAATTATGAGAGTGTTATTTACAAATCAGGAAATGGCACTATTTAGAAATTTGTTAAATGTGGTCATATGGTATTTTAAAATCTGCTCTTTTCAAGTTCTATTGCTAGAACATTTATTTTCAGTTTTTCTAAGGAAAATATATAGTAAGGAGTATTTAGATTTAGGTGCTAATTTTCAGAGATTAAGAAAATTTGATGCCCATATAATCAAGTAGTCAAATATAGATTCCTAAGTTTGTGTAGTTCCAATTCACAGGTGAAGATAAAAGACGATTTAAAGTTAGATTGTGAATCTGGCTCTTAGAGGTGCATGCCTATCTTTTCTTTTTTTTTCCTTTAGAAAGGACTGCGGACACTATGTATAGCTTATAGACAGTTTTCAGCTAAAGAGTATGACGATATAGATAGGCGCCTATTTGAGGCCAGGACCGCCTTGCAGCGACGGGAAGAAAAATTGGCTGATGTCTTCCAGTACATTGAGAAGGACCTGATATTACTAGGAGCAACAGCAGTGGAAGACAGGCAAGTATCAGAAGTAGGCAGTATCTTTTTTTTTTAAAGAACGTTTTAGTCAAGTGCTTCTAGTATATTAAATACTGTTAACATTCTGTAACAAAATAGAAAACTAAAGCTTTACTTTTTTCTACTCAGAATAATGCTGTTTTATTCTATCGTTGGCTATTTGAATAGATAAAGGACACACTTGTTTGATTATTCTTCCATGTTGCTGTTCTTTAGTCAGTGTGTCATACCATCATCAGACATTGCCATCTCTCTCTATCCTCACCTTCCACTAGTGCCCACTCTGCTTCATGCTTCAGTACTGCCTCACTGACGGCTATACTCCTGGATACCTGTAGCTGAAATTGTTGTGTTTATGCCTTTGTTCCTTGGCAAGGCCTTGCCTTCCGCCTGGATGATTCTTCTTCCCTGCCATGGCATTTGTGAATAAAATGTACTCATAACTAACCCTCATCCAACAAGATCTTTTCTGACAACAACATGATTGAAAATGCTCTTCTTTATGAACATTCTGTTTATTGTTTTTTGATGCTATGTTAAATTATTTGTTTAAAGATTTTTCTCCTTCTGTTAGCATATGAATTCCTTGCAACTTGTTTTACTTTTTAGAACCTATCTTCTATGTCAATCTTAGCTCTTGAATTAAATTGAATTTTATGAGTCAAATTGATCTTTATAAGTTAAGCCTGTTGTTTTCTTCTGTTCCCTATATCTACAGAGGTATGCATATTTTAAGTGTGGATTTTCATTTACTTTTTGTTTGTTTTCATTAGATTTCTTAAACATATGTAGTCTTGTATTTCCTACAGTCTGATGTTTAATTTAAAAGGAAAACTATAGGAGCCTCATCCAAAAGCAGAAAACCTGAATTCAGGATCTCTCATGCCTAGACTTCTATGTGTGCTGCATACTTACCTCTCCTTACCTACTTCTGTTACTGGGGTGGGGTGAGGAGAGATCTAGACTTGAAATTTTAGACTTACTAGTGCCACATTTCTTTTTTTGTGTGGGTGGGGGTCCAAATAGGATTTCGCTGTGTAACAGCCTTGGCTGTCCTGGAACTCACTCTGTAGACCGAGCTGGCCTCGAACTCACAGAAATCCACCTGCCTCTGCCTCCCAAGTGCTGGGATTAAAGGCATGTGCCACCACCACCCAACTGTGGCATCTCTTGCCTAGCATGTACCAGGCCTCAATTCAACCCCCCTTCCCCTGTACCACTTCCCAATAAGATAGGTTTATGAAGGCTACCTGGTTAGTTGGGTTCATAAAAACCAGCTTTGATGATAGAATATGAAGTTGTATATTTTAATTCATTGGTCTCTTTGAACTAGATGGCCACTTATAGTTTATTCTTGTTTCCTGCATAATGAAAGAAAATTTCAGTTATGTTGATACACTGTAACATTCTTATAAAGAGTATACTTTATGTGTGTTGTGTAGTTTATACTTAACATATACTACAGGAGTATTTTTCTCTATCAGTTTTTTTCTTTTATTGTTAGACTACAGGATAAAGTTCGAGAAACTATTGAAGCATTGAGAATGGCTGGTATCAAAGTATGGGTACTTACAGGAGACAAGCATGAAACAGCCGTTAGTGTGAGTTTATCATGTGGACACTTCCATAGAACTATGAATATCCTCGAACTTATCAACCAGAAATCAGACAGTGGATGTGCTGAACAATTGAGGCAGCTTGCCAGGAGGTAAGGTAGCACTGTCTTGCCACTGCTTGTTTTTTGATCAGCCCATAGCTAAAAGGTTGCTTTTTTTTAACTTGTAATTAAAACAACACTTTACAACTTTGATTTATGTGTATGTCTATTTTGCATGCATGTATGTCTGTGTTACCATCTGCATACCTCGTACCCACTGAGGGTAGAAGAGAACATTGGATCCCGTGGAACTAGAGTTAAAGGCAGTTGTGGGTGCAGGAACTTGAACCTGGGCCTTCTAGAAGAGCAGCTAATGCTCTTACTAGCTGAGCCATCTCTCTAGTCCTGTTTTTAATATTTTGATAGATGAGGAGCAATCCAAAGACTTAGTTCATGCTACAAAAATCACATGAAATTGGGAATTTAGTGTCTGTGAGTTTAATAGCCATATTCACTTGTTTCCGTGGTACCTGTGGTTGTTACCATTGTACCATCTGAGTTAGCGATATGCAGCTGAACCCTTACAGGGTCTTCTCTCATCTGTTTACACTGCTGCTTGGCACATTTTAAGAGCCACACAATTACAACTTGATAGGGTTTTGAGTGCAACACATGACACCACACTGACAATTAATATTTTCTATTGTCAGTCTGAAGTTCAATGATCAAAACAGAAAATGGATTACTTCTGGAATTGTTGACTAGTGAGGTCCCAAAGATCCCCAAATATTATGGGCTATTGCCAATGCACTTGGTTACCCTCCAGAACTTAATGGAAAGGTAAAGTCTCCATTGCTGTGGATACCACATACTTGAGTTACACAACATGGAGAAATCAAGCTGGGACCTACTGGCCAACAACTCCGGAAGAAGTAATCCATTCCTGGGACCAGACTTGTTATTTTTTAGCCTCTGGTTTCCAGTAGGGGTGTTGCTGCCCTGTTATAGGGTAACAGCATACATGTACAGATATATCTTAAGAAGCTTCTATGGTAGTAGGTTTCTATAGGACTTTCCTGAAAAGTCTTTAGTGTTGTTATCCCTCCTAGTTTCCCTCTTTGACTCTTCCCACCCCACCCCAATTTTTCCCTTTTACTCATTATACTAGTGCATTCTGTTGCTTTTCACATAAAAGCCCCTCCCCATGGACTCTTAGTGATTTCCTGGCCTTTTGGGGTATTCCAAATGAAACACACACATCTAAAGATCCGAAACCTACAGCTGCAACTGAGAGAAAACAAGCAACATTTCTTTCTCACTCAGGATGGTTTATTTCCAGCTCTGTCCATTTACTGGTGAATTTCATTTTTCTTATTAGCTGTAATTGTATAAATATATCACTTTCATTATGCATTCATCAGTTGGTGGACATCTAGGCTGTCTCTATTTTCTAGCTATTGTGAATAGAGCAACAATTAACATGAATGAACAAAGCCATTTTAATTTTCATTTCCCTAATAACTTACGGATTTTGAACTCTTTTAAACATTTGTCCGCCATTTGTATTTCATCTTTTGACAATTCTCTGTTCATTTCTATTCTCTATTTTTTAACTGGGCATTTTGTTTTCTTACTGTTAATTTTTTTCCAATATATAGTTGGTAAAAAAAAAAAAATTCCTATTCTGTAGGATGCCATTTCACTCAAATGATGATGTTTTTTTACTGCACAGAAATATTTCCGTTTCATGAGGTTCCATTTATTAATTGTTCATCTTAGTGCTGTTATTGAGGTCCTGTTCAGAAATTCTTTTCCTGTGCCAATGATTTCAAGCCTACTCCCTATTTCTCTTCTGTCAGATTCAGGACATCAGGTTCTTTTGTAAGGTCCTTGATCCATCTGTACATTTTGATTTAGAGGGCTTTGTTCTTCTGGTGTCCTCCATCCTCTCTAGCTCTTACACTCTTTCTGCCTCCTCTTCTGTGAGGTTCTTTGAGCTTTGAGAGGAGGAATTTGATGGAGACATTTCATTTAGAGCTATGTGTTCCAAGGCCTTTCTCTTCGCATACTGGCTGGCTGTGGGTCTCCGCATCTGTTGCACAAGGAAGCTTCTCTGATGATGACTGAATAAGGCACTGATCTATGAGTGTAGCAGTCATAGAGTAATTTTATTTTAGTTTAGACCAATAGTATTTGTTTTGCCCTAGGTCTCTGAGCTATCTAGTCTCTGGTACTTGGTCACCTTAGATGCAGAAATGGCCTTTGACAAAATCCAACACCTTTTTGTGATAAAAGTCCTGAAGGGATTAGGGATACAAGGAACATACCTCAACATAACAAAGGCAATTTACAGCAAACCTATAGCCAGCATTAACTTAAATGGAAAGAAACTCAAAGCAGTTCCACTAAAATCAGGAACAAGACAAGGTTGTCCACTCTCTCCATATGTATTCTATACGGTTCTTGAGGTTCTAACTAGAGCAATAAAACAGCCGGAGGAGATGAGGGGATACAAATTAGAAAGGAAGAAGTCAATGCTCTTTATTTGTAAGTGGTATGACAGTATACACGGTGACCCTAAAAAGTCCCCTGGGAAACTCCTATAGCTGACAAACACTTTCAGTGAAGTGGCTAGATACAAAATTAACTCACAGAAGTCAGTAGCTCTCCTATATTCACATGACAAATGGACTGAGAAAGAAATCAGGGAAACAACACCTTTTACAATTTTATATTATTTTCACAAATAATATAAAGTATCTTTAGGTAACTAACCAAGCAAGTGAAAGACCTGTATAATAAAAACTTCAAGTCTTTGGAGAAGCCATCAGAAGATGGAACGATATGCCATGCTCATGGATTGGTAAGATTTAGCATAGTGAAATTGACCATCCTACCAAAGCAGTCTACAGATTCAATGGAATTCCCATCAAAATCCCAACATAATTCTTACAGCACAATTTTTTTTTTCAAAAAGGACAATTCTCAACTTCGTATGGAAAAACAAAAACCCAGGATAGCTAGAACAATCTTGAAAAATAAAAGACCTTCTGAAGGTATCACCATCCCTGATTTCAAGTTATTGTACTACAGAGCAATAGTAATAAAAAAAACCACATGGTATTGGCATAAAAATAGGCAGGTTCATCAATGGAATTGAATTGGAAAACCCAGACATAAATAATCCAAACACATATGGGCCCTGATTTTTTTTTTTTTTTTTTAAAATTTGGTCAAGTTTTCATAGTGTAGCCCTGCTGTCCTGAAACTCACTCTGTAGATCAGGCTGGCCTCAAACTCAGAGATCCGCCTTCCTCTGCCTCCCAAATGCTGGGATTAAAGGTGTGCACTACCACTGCCTGGCTAGGACTCCTGGTTTTTGATAAAGAAGCCAGAAATACACAGTGGGGGAAAAAAAGCCTCTTCAACAAATGGTGCTAGTCAAACTGGATGTCTACATGTAGAAGAATGCAAATAGATCCATATTTATCACCCTGCATACAACTCAAGTCCACATGGATCAGAGACCTCAACATAAAGTCAGATACACTGAACCTGTTAGAAGAAAACATGGGAAATAGCCTTGAACTCATTGCCACAGGAGACAACTTTCTGAGCAGAACGCTGATAACACAGGCACTATGATCAACAATTAATAAATGGGACCTCATGAAACTGAAAAGCTTCTGTAAAGCAAAGGACACCATTAATTGAGTCTCATTAATTAATGAGAAAAGACTTTTTACCAACTTCACAACCAATGGAAACTAATATCCAAAATTTATAAATAACTGAAGAAACTAGATATCAAAAAACCAAATAATCCAATTTAAGAATGGGGTACATATCTAAACGGAGAATTCTCAATAGAGGAAAATTTAATTTTTTTAAAGATGAATAAGATTCCATTGTTATATAGTTACTTCATTTTCATTATTCCTTCATGAGTTGATGGACATATAAGCTGTTTCCATGTCCTAGCTATTGTGAATAGAGGAGCAATGAACATGGATGAGCATGTAGTGTCCTTGTATGAAAAATAGAGTCCTCTATCAAGGTAGGAGCGACATGACTTGGACCACCAGGTTGTTCTTCAGCAATGGTTCCTGATGGGATGACAAGAGGTGAGAAGACAGGAAAGCTGAGGTCAAGTTTCTCACAAGCTGTGTCTTGTGCCAAGCAAGTTTATTAAGAAGTACAGCCCCTTCTGTACAGTTTGTGGGTATGGGGGAAAGGAGAATGGTGGGTGTGGAACAGTGTCAGCAGAAAATTTGCATACACTAGGATGAACACAGGATCTCTCAAGTGTGTCGCAGATTGAGCACACAGTGGCCTTGGAATTGATAATTCTCCAGTCTTTTGCAGGTTACGGGAAGGGAACCAAGTTCCCAGGAAACAAAACCTTAACTCATGCAAGGCCCTGGCCTCAACCTGAACCTTGCCAAGTCTGCCCCTGAACAAGGACACAGAACTAGGTTCCCTTTGTCCTTTCAACAGGGCCCCTAGAGAGCCTTGGATCAGCCTTGTTCATAACAGTGATGTATAGTTGGGTCAAATGGTAGATGTATTTCTAGTTGTCTGGGGAATAGCCATGCTGGTTTCCATAATGACTACTGCATCATTGCACTCCCACTTAGAGTCATAAGGCTTCCCATTTCCTACATCCTCACTAGCATTTGTTGTCTTTGTTTTCCTTCGATTTTCTTTCTTTTTTTTTTTTTTTCTTTTGGTTTTTTCGAGACAGGGTTTCTCTGTATAGCTTTGGTTGTCCTGGACTCACTCTGTAGACCAGGCTTGGCCTGGAACTCACAGAGATCCACCTACCTCTGCTTCCCAAGTGCTGGGATTAAAGGCATGCGCCACCATCGCCTAGCTCTTGTTTTCTTAATCTTAGTCATTCAGACTGGGGTAACATGAAGTCACAGAGTTGTTTTAATTTATATTTTCCTAATGTCTAATGGTAAATACTTTTATTACTTAGCCATATATCTTCTTTTTGAGAAGACAGATATTTTAGTTTCTTGAATTCTTATAATTTATAGATACTAATCCTTCATCAGATGTATAGCTAGCAAAGATCTTTTCCCATTCTGTAGGCTGCCTCCTCAATGTGTTACAGTTTGCTTTGCAATACAGAAGCTTTATAACTTCATGAAGTCCATTTGTTGATTGTTGATCATATTTCCTGGGTGACTAGAATCCTATTCAGAAAGTCACTACCTAATCTTATATCCTGAAGTTTACTCCCTACACTTTCTTCTAGAAGTTTCAGGTCTAACATAAGAACTTTGATCCCTTTAGTAAGGGAGAAGGATCAAATTTCATTCTTCTGCATGTAGAGAGCCAGCTTTTCAACACTGTTGGTTAAAGATGCTGTCTTTTTTCCAATGTATGCTTTTGGCATCTTTGTCAAAAGTACAGTATATATAAGTGTGTGGACTTTGGGTCTTCAATTCTCTTCCATTGATCAATGAGTTTGTCATTGTGCCAGAGCCATGGTGCTGTTACCTCTATAGCTCTGTAATCTAACTTGAAATCAGGAATAGTGACACTTGTAGCCGTGTTTTAATTGGTCAGAATTGTTTTAGCTCTCTGGGGTCTTTTATGCTTCCTTATGAATTTTAAGATGGACTTTCAATGTCTGTGAAGAATTACATTTGACTTTTATGGAAATTGCACTAAATCTGTAGATTGCTTTTAGTAAGATGGCCATTTTCACAATAGTAATCATACCAATCCCTGCTATTGGGTTGCTACTGTCTTCTTTCATTTCTTCCTTGAGTTTTTTTTTAAAGTTTTCTTTGTATAGGTCTTTCTCTTTTGGATTTTTTGTTGTCTTTTTTGTTTGAGGCTGTTGTACATGAAATTGTTACCCTGATTCCTCAGTCTGTTTGTCTTTGGTGTATAAGAAGGTGACTGATTTGTGGGTGTTAATTTTGAAACCTGCCATTTTGCTGAAAGTGAGAACATTAACTTTTAACCTCCAGATTCTGTATGGTCCAGAGATTGATATGCAACAATCATGCTTTCGGTTTTGAATGAATAAGTTTATTAAGTATATTGCAAGCAAAATACACTAAATTATTGCTGTATTTTAAATTTAGTAAAATTTATTTTCTTTCTTAGCACCTATATAGCATCCTGAGTTATGCCTTTTGGCCAACAGACCCTAAAAAAAATTGTTTCTTGACCCTTTACAGAAAACATTTGTAGTACCTGGTTTATTTTATATAACCACACTGTTAAATTAATCTACATCTCACAGTTCAAAGATTATTTCATAATAATTTATATTCTGAATTCTTTCTCTTCTGTAAATCTATTTTTCTAAGCAGATCAAATTTATTTGGCTGCCCCCAATTACTGTAGTCAAATTTTTCATAACAAATGGAGTACTTCGCTGTAGCTGTAAATGTATTAGGTTTATATAGCAATCCCTCATTTGCAGTTTATGATACTGTTGTGCCCAGATCGTGACCCCCAGAGAGACCACCAAAGACAAGCATGCTGGAATGCAAAAGCAAGGTTTAATTTTGGATATCCAAAAGCAATACAAGCCTAGGCAGGGACTTCGTCCAATACATCCAACACAGTGGAGGCTGGAGGAAGTGCCCACCTATCTTCAAGCTCAGTTTTTAAAGGGAAAAATCACAAGGTTACATCATTTAGGGGTGCTAGTATGGGTACAATTCTGATTGGCTTGCTTCTAGGGGCTTTCTAGAAATCATGGCTTAATCTTACTTCTAAGGGGGTGGTTGCCCACCACCATTTCTCATTGGCTGCCCTCAGGTGGGGACATTTCTGTGGTCAGTTACCCTGGAAACCAGGGAGAGGACATTCCATACATAGTCCGGCAGTCATTACCTCGTGACTACCTTGTGACTCTGTACTTTTACACTTCCTGATTTCTGGAATCTGGACTGACTTGTTTCAGTAACTATTGGCCTATTCCTAGAAGGAGAAATCTTAGGCCTTAGTTTTTGGGTGAAAGCATTTTGGTCTTATTTCTAAGATGGCTCATTTTGGTCTCACGATACTAACCCAGGAAAACAATCCCCAGAAGGCAAGGCTGTGGATGTTAAAGTAGTGAATGTATATTAAATTCACTACTTTATTTATGTTTGTTATATAGGCATCGATGTGTTCTAGAGCTCATCAAAGAAAAACATTAAAGCGATACATTTTAACAGAATACTTTTTATTTATTCTTTGATAAATTTATACGTGTAAACAATGAATCTTGATCACATGTATCCCAGACTCCTTATTCTCATTCCCACCAGGCAACCCCAGCGTGTCTTCCTCCATGTTCATGTCCTTTTTATTTTTATGTTTTTGTAACCTACAAAGTAGTGCTGTCTACTGAAATGCTGATTGATCTTGTGTCTTATTCAGGTAACCATAGTTGCTGTAGTTCATGAGTGAAATGGTCTTGTCATGTCCAAAAAACATTTCACACCTCTCCTCCCCATCCTCCAGCTCGCACATTCTTGCCACCTCATCTTTCACAATAGTCTCTGTTCTTTGAGTGCAGTTGGGGGGATTGATATAGATATCATAGTTAGGGCTGAGCACTGCACCTCCTAAACCTCCCCAAATAGGGCCACCATCAAGGGACCAAGTTTACAAATACCCAAACTACCACATTCTACTCCCCCATATCAACAATGCAAATGCATTTACTCCCACTTCAAAAGTCCCTATAATCTTTCATAGTCTTAACCCTTTACAAGTCCAAAGTCCAATCTCTTCGGAGACTCAGGGTACAATTTTTAATTGTAAGCCCCAGTAAAAATCAAAAAGCAGATTACATACTTCTAACCTGTGGCACAAAATATACATTTCTATTCCAAAAGGGAGGAATGGGGCATCGTGAGGAAATACTGGATCAAAGCAAGACTAAAACACGGCAGGGCAAACTCCAAATCCTGTAGCTCTGTTCTGATGTCAAAGGGTTTAGATGGCTCTACCCCTCCAGCTATACTCCATGCAACATAAATCTCTCTCTGGGGCCGGTTCTGCTCCCCTTATACAGCTCTCCTTGGCAGATATCCCATGTCTCTGGCACCTCCAACATCTTGGGGTCTCCACTGCAACACTGCTTTGCTTCCACAGTTCCATGCAGTGGCCTCTCATGTCCTTTTGCCCTCTCAGGGCCTTCTTACAGGTAAGGCCACATTTTGTCTGGCCCCAGGGGCTCTCTGAAACCTTGGAGAAAGAATCTCTAACTCCTTCACTCTTGAATTCGTTATGCCTCTAAAGCTAGTACTACATCATGGACTACACTGCCAAGTTCCAAGTTGGAATGGGTCCTGACCCCTTTGAATGACATTAGTAGCAGCTACAGTTTCTTCCTAGAACCAGGAAGTGCCTCAGGCTGCTTTTTACAGTGTGGAAGCTTGTCTGGGTGGGGTCTCACTCTGAGGGCACCCTTCTCTTTATTTCAGTATAGAGCAGGCCTCTCCTTAATGACACTAATCTCCATAACAACTGTAACTTCTCTTCTATTAAGTGTCATGGCTATAACATTAAGCTTCCTAGTGTTTCTCTCCAAACTCTCCATTTTATATTTCTTTCTGCCCTGTTTAGCTCATTTTTCAATGTAGACCTGTATACACATTATTATTAAAAACCATTCTACAAACTCAGTGCTATGCAGTCTTGACATTTTCCCCACCGAAGAAGTGAATCCATTACTTTTTAATCAAGCCCCAGATAAGTTCTTAGGACACAGACAGAAGACAGCCATTTTCTTTGTCAAAACAACACAGGTATATCCTGTAGCCCAGTTGCTGTTAAAGTCCTTGCTTCTTCCTGAAACCTCTTGATTCAGGCCTCTAGTCTGCTTTGCATTCAGCAGTACCATCTTCCAGGCTCCTACTAGGGTGGCATTCTGCACTCTGACCACAGCATTGAACTGCTTTTCCAGTCCGGAGTTCCAGAGTCTTTCACATCCCTTCAAAAACCTCAACACGGTCATGCTCTTCATAGCAACAGCCCACTCTCTTATACCAACTTTTGTATTCATTACTTTTCTATTGTTGTGATGAAGCATCATGACCAAGGTACCTTATAGAAGAATAAAGTTATTTGGGTTTATGGTTCCAGAGGGTTAGAGTCCATAATTGTAAGGACAGCATGGCAGCAGGAAGCTTAGAGCTCACATTCTTTACTGCCACCATGAAACTGAGAGTCAGAGATATTTCTAAAAGACAGTATAACTTTTAGGCAAGTCTTTGCTTGGATATAGAAGGCACTTCATTTTGGAAATTGTGTTATTTTGAGAGCATGTTAACACTATTGTGGTGAGTTAATAGTTAAGAAGAATAATGTCAGGGAGAAATTAACTGTTCAAAATAATTTACTTTATATATACCTTCTAAAATTATTTATTGGTTATTAAAAGTTATGTTGTGCCAGTGAGATGGCTCAGTGGATATATGTGTCTGTTACCAAGCCTGACTATGTGAGTTCAGTCCCTGAGACCCCAAGAGACAACCATCTCTTTCAAGTTGTCCTCTGACTTCTACATGAGTATATACACATATATACAAACAATAAGTAAATAAAAACAGTAAAATTTTTAAAAATTAATGTCTCCTTAAAAATACTGAAAATTGTAAAGAAGATACAGTGTTGATAACACTATACAAGTATGTAAAGCTTATTAATTGTGTTTTCTGTAGGTCTTCTATATAGGTTCTTTTGGTAAATGTGTTATAACCATTAGTAGTATTCATTTCTCTTTTTGTATAAAAGCTGTATTTTATCTTACCTTTCAGATAATACAACTGAGTTTGTTCACTTATGCATAAGTCATTCAACAGTCGTCTGGTTGACCTGTCTGTCTTTAAATAAAGTAAATAATCTGACATCAGAGTGTGACATAGAGGATATAATTGTACTCTTTTTTAGAATTACAGAAGACCATGTGATACAGCATGGGCTGGTAGTAGATGGGACCAGCTTATCTCTTGCACTCAGGGAGCATGAAAAGCTATTTATGGAAGTTTGCAGAAACTGTTCAGCTGTATTATGTTGTCGTATGGCACCTTTACAGAAAGCAAAAGTAAGTATATACCATAAAAAATTCCATAAAAATAATCTTCAAAAGAGGGAGGGAGGGAGGTAACGAACAAGACAATTCTATGTTAAAAGTTATCAACCTCAGCATTGTGGCACACACCTGTAAATCCTAGCATCCAAGAGACTGAGGCAAGAGGATTGCAAGGTTGAGGCCAGTCTCGACTAACAAAGTGTGAGGGAGGGAGGAAGAAGAGGAGGCGGCTGTCAAGTTATACATTAGGAAAGTTGAATCCAGTTCACTTTTTATCATCATCATGTGTAAAGCTGGATAAAGAAATGTTTAAATTTCAGATGCCTAGGATGCAACCTAAAACCCACTCAGACAACTTTTATAGGTCTACAGTTTGGAATATTTTGAGCTCTTTGACTGTTTCCTTCAAAAACCATTCTTGGTAGAGGCTAGCAAGATGGCTCGCTCATCAGATAAAGGCACCAGCTGCTAAGTCCTACTACCTGAGTTCCAGCCCCAGGCCGGACTCCCACAAGTTGTTCTCTGACTTCTCTTTGTACACCCATACATATAGACACACATGCATACACACATTAATAAATATAATCTCATAAAATTTTTAAAGAAATAGCTTATACTATTCTTAGCAATACCAATATAATAAGTACTGGTTGTTTTGCACACAGATATCCAGGTTTATTTAGACTCATGGAATTTTGTTACAGTACTTGTGTGTCCCAGTCTGTGGAGATTAGAACTAGAACAGACATGTCTCTGCTCTTGTAAAAACATATCCAAGAATTCCAGAACAAGGGTCAGTGGGAAAAAGTACTGTCAAGTAAGTCCAATGACCTTGATTCAGTACCTGGAACTCACATAAAGGGTAAGGAGAGAACCAACTCCACAGAGTTGTTCTCTGACCTCCAAATACTGGCCATCTCATGTACACACACACATACACACACAGATTTAAAAATATTTTTAAAGAATTCCAGATAAATTTGTTCTGATTTCACTTAATTTAATATTTTCTTAAATCTTGAGACATCTAATCAGACTAAACAGGTATCTTTTCTTTGTACAGTTATTTTCTTTCTTGTGAATTTTGTTTTGATAACTCAGTGATGTATAGTTATTTATTTAAATAACTCATTAGTCTTATAAAAATTTTAGAATACATTTTAAAAATCTTCTCTTCCTAAAATCCAAAAATACAACTATTTTGTTATAACATTTGTGAAAGACATAAACCCTTAATATCCATACCCCTCAAAGAGTGAGCTTTACTGTGTTACTGTCCAGCGTGAAGTCAAATGTTGTCTTCACCACCATACAACTGCAGAAAATTTTAGGTGAAAGATATTACACAAATACAAGAGAGTTAGAACTTTATCACAAAGAATGAATTCATTGTATGTTTTTCAGGTAATAAGGCTGATAAAAATCTCACCTGAGAAACCGATCACATTGGCTGTTGGTGATGGTGCTAATGATGTAAGCATGATACAAGAAGCTCATGTTGGCATAGGTGATTGACTTTTTCTTGAATTTTAAAGTGGTATAATTACTGGATAGTTTTGAATTTTCCTTTTTGTAAAGTACAATGTCCAGTGTTTGAATGAAAACAAATACAATATGATAGTACATGATAGTATATCCCCATAAGAAACCAATTATTATTTAGGCCACTGTTTACATTATTTTAATTCATATTTTTGTTATTTTATTATTTAGCACATGTGCACAATAAATTTTATTTAGCCCACTATTTACATTATTTTAATTATTTAATTAAAGGAAGTGGTATCACATTAGTGAGTTTTTTCTTTGCTTATTCTCCTAAATAATAAAAGTAATTTTATTTTAACATCCCATTTTGTACCTGACAAAGAACTTTCACACATCATTTTATCCTTTAAACTTACATAATTGTTATTAAGGTTTTAAATTCTTATTTTATAATTATTATTACTTTTATTTGTGAAACTATAAAAGTTATTCTGTACATTTTGAGGGTAATTTTAGAGAAAAGAATTTATACCAAACATAGATAAAAAATAAAATTCCAATACTTTTGATTTTAATAATATATCATTTTCTATATTCTTAAGACCATACTGTAGTTATCCCTCAAAAATATTTCCCTTGCTCCCATTCTTATTATAGAATCATTTTATTGGCTTCAGTGTACTGTTATTATATTGTCAGTGGTTCACCAGTGGATGGTTTACTACTTAACCTACTCTGATCTGTCAGTGTTACTTCACAAGTGAACAACAAAGGGGAGTGTGAGTAGTAGTATGTGGGTGGCTCCACCGAGGGTTAAAGTCCCAGCAGAGAGGAGAGACTTGGCTGCTTTGTCCACGGTATGCTGGGCTGATAGTTTATATTTATCTCTTAAAATCAATCCTCCCTGTTTGGGATAGTAAATAATTCATTTTGAAATTTCAACTTTCTTTGTGGTTTCTAAACTATTTCCAATAAATCTCAACCGTAATTTTTAAATAATTTTATCCTGTATATTAAGCATATGAAACTGATTGAGGGGCTGTGGAGACAGTCTGGTGGTAACATGCTTCTTCCCAGGCAGTCAGTTCCTGAGTTCAGATCTCTAGTAAAAGTCAACCATAGTGGGCATCTGTAACCCTGCATCAGCACTTAGAGTAGATCCAGACTGACCCCAAGGGTTTCTGGACAGCTTAGTCTAACTGAAGTAACATGCCCCAGGTTCAGTGAGAGACCCTTTGCAAATCACATGGCAGCGTGATAGAGAAGGGTGCTTTGTATCCATGTTTGTCCATTAGTTGCATACACATGTTGTACATGGGCAAGTGTGTGTACCCAAGTACGTATGTGCACACATATTCAAGGAAGCATTGCTTAGTATAGCAAAGGAAATTCTTAAAGCTTCAGCAAGAAAGCAACAGCAAATTACTTGTTTGACCAAAAAAAAAAGAAGAAGAAAAGGAAAAATTGTATGTCTTTTTTAGTACCTTTACCAAAACAAATTCCAGATGAAATAAGGATTTAAATAATTCTTTGAAGCCATAAAAGGTAACTGAAGAAATTTTTATGAGTAATTTTGTTATTTGAGTTATGGAAAGATGTTTGAAGCACAATACCACATGAAGAAATTTTCATTAACTATAAGGAAAAGATCACTGTTTGTAGCATGGGAACAAACTCCTTGGAAAACAGTTTTAAAGACAAATAGTAAAGAATAATTAGAATATAGATAGCAAGGCCATAGTCCTCATGATGTAAGAAGTCAGCACACTAACAAGAGGAAGCACTTGATAGACACATGAGAGACGGTGAGCCATCTGCTAGCATAAAATGAAAAACATTGAAGTGAACAGTCTCTCAAACAAAAATGCAAATTAAAATTGTGTTTGCAATATGCAATAATGATAAAAATTGATAAATTTGGAAAAATTATCGAGAATATAAATTGGTACACCATTATTGTACAAAACAAAAATTTTAACTATGTGCCAATTAGCCTTCCAATTATGTGTGTAGGATTTTATTGCAGGAAAGTAAACATTTAAAGTAATTTGTATTCTTTGACAGTTTCTACATGTATCCATATATAATGTATTTTTAATCATACTCATTCTCCATTCCGCTTTCTGTCCCACTCCCCCTGAATTCTTCCCAACATGTCACCCAGGAAGTCTCATGTCTTTGGACTCTTGGTTTTAGGTTTTGTTTAAGAAAATAATTGAATATATCCATAAAGGTGTATGTGTGTAGCAAGATGTAGTGGATCACATCTGTAATCTCAACCCTTCAGAGATGCTGGATACTGAGATAGACTGTTAAGTTCCAGGCCAGCCTGGCTACCCAGCAGTAGTTCATCTCAAAAATAAATACATACACATGTACGTGCATACATACTCATAATAAACAAATGCAAGTGAAAAGCAAATAATCACATTTGTGGATGGTTGTTTGTACATTAGTTATATATGTTAAATATAATATACAATATGCTGAAAGAATTTCAGCAATATAAGCTTTACAAACTGGTTTTCTCTAGGTGTTGTAAATAAATTATTTTCTTTGCCTACCCAGTTAGAACATTTTTGTCTTCATGACAAAAAATTTTAATTTAAAAAAATATTTTTTAAAAGTTGCTTTGAGATACATAAAAATTAGGATTTTTATCATTTTATTTATTTATTTATTTTCAGGCAGGGTCTCACTGAACAGCTCTAACTGGCTAGGAACTCACTATGTGGATCAGGCTGGCCTTGAATTTACAGAAATCTTTCTGCCTTGGCAGTTTTTCTTCCTCTTTTAGAACTTAAAGGGTTATCGTAAAGTTAAAACAAACAACAAAAAACCAACAAGCACTTGGGATTAATGTGGATAGTAAGGAAAGGGCTTAGTTTCATGTGTGCCTTGACTGCAGTAAGAAACTCCAGCAAAACATGGCAAGTATACTTTCTTCTAGAAGAGCCAGAGGTGACCAAAGAAGGCGGATACCCAGAGAGACATTGAAAATCATTAGATGTCAGTAGGACATGGAATGGGATGGAGCTGAACCAATCTTACCTCCATCATCTCTAAGAACCAAATGGGATTCTGTCACAACAGAATACTTCGTAGCAAAAGTATTTGACTGTGATGACTATTGCACAGTTGGCAGAAAAGCTAAACTTTCTTTTTTAGGTTTTTCAAGACAGGGTTTCTCTGTGTAACAGTCCTGGGTGTCCTGGAACTCACTTTGTAGACCAGGCTGGTCTTGAACTCCCAGATATCTGCCTGCCTCTGCCTCCTGAGTGGTGGTATTAAAGGCGTGAGCCACCACTGCCTGGGCGAAAAGCTAAATTTTTAAAAACAAACAATCTTTGTGTTTGTATTGTGGCGTATGAAGAGTCCCGGTGGTTAAAGAGCAAAAACCAGGTCCCTTCCACAGAGCCCTGTGTGTGTGTGTGAGTGTGGTGTGTGTGTATACCAACCTCAGATGATGTTTTATTTAGGAGATATGTCCTGATAAATATGATTTTTGTAGCTTATTTACTTATTTAAATTATTGGGGATGGTATAAGAAATATTTTGGAAACGGTTCAATTTCGCAGGGTGTTCCTAACTGCAAAGTATCTCTGCACATGAATAGTAGATGGACAAATAGTGGGTTCTAAGCTTCCTCCTGAAAGTTAGAGGCTGAGGTTGGCACTCTAGTCACTAATGTTAGCCAAGGCATGGTAGCAGCTGTCTACCTTGGAAGTGCTAATGTGGCTAAGCTATGTTTGGATGCTGCTGGGACATGGTATTCAGAAAAGCCCTGGTCCCTGGCCAGAGCCTGCCTTCTACTGAAGGCCATTTATAATTGACCAGCCTTTTCTTGTTTGATATGGAACTCTGGCTTCTGCTCTGTGACTCAGATGAGCCTGGATCATCCAGTGTTGGGTCTTGTCTAGTTGCTGTCTAGCGTCTAAGTGAACCTTCACAAAATCCTTTGCTTTTAGTAATGCCTCTCAATACAACACCACATCACAACATATTTGTTTTCACTGTCCTGTTCTTTTTTTTTTATATCAGTTTTGTTTAAGAATTTCCAACAGTTACAACTCATTTTAAAAAAAAAAAAAAAAAAGCACAGGACCCAGAACTGAAGCAAACGGCATCCTTATGAGCAGCTAACAGACATGAGAACCTCCACCCCTCTCTGAGACACCTAAGCTCACTGGTGAACTCTTCCTCCAAGTTCTTCTGCAAAGCACACCACAAGCTCAGTCTATGTTTGCAGTCCATCAGCTTCAGTTCACATTCATCCCACACTTCCAGATCAGTAGTGGGGAGTACACACCACACAGTATTCACAGCAGGTGGCATGGGGAGGGAAGTACAAGTATGTCACTGAACACATTCAACTAAAGAGGGCTTTGTTTTGTTTTGGTTTTTTTCAAGACAGGGTTTCTCTGTGTAGCTTTGGAGCCTGTCCTGGAACTCGCTCTGTAGACCAGACTGGCCTCGAACTCACAGAGATCCACCTGTCTCTGCCTCCCTAGTGCTGGGATTAAAGGTGTGCGACACCACCGTCCGGCCTAAAGAGGGTTTTCTAAGTACAGAACTCAGAGTCTTCCAACAGATATGGATGTCTTGATGCAAAAACATTGGTGCATTCTTTGTTGTCATTGCTGTCTGTGCACTTCCTCACCAAAGCCACACGATTGAGTGACACATCTGTCCGAGTTAAAAAATATCCATTTTGCACCACCAAGTCTCTACACATGCACTCTCCTTTTCTCTCTCTTACTAACCTTTCATGCTTCGGCACTACCATCAGCACTGCCGTCAGCCCTGCTCTTGATGTACAGTAAGTATCAAGGCCATGGGATGACTTGGTCCCCAAACAACTTACCTTCATGGGATGGCAAAACCCAGCCCTGGAAACACTGCGAGTGAGCCCTCCCCACACCCATTCTGAGCAACCTGGAGCCTAGTTAAGTGCGACTAACAGCAGTACAGCCTTCAGCTTGGCTTCCTCTAGCCTGCCTTTCCCCAGGAGGAAGAAAAGCCTGGCTGCTGCAATTGCCATCTAGCTGTAGCCAGCAGGTCCAGGTCCGAGGGATTAGGCCAAGTGATGCTGTCTTGGAGCCAAGGTGCTGGTGGCTACTATGGGAACCAAAACCATGCTGGGCCCTGAGGGTCCTACCTGTATTGTGATAATTGCCTGTTACCCCAGAGTTCTGCAGCTTGGGTGTCCTGGGTTGCTGTGATGTGGTGGGCACTTTGTGGCTGAATTCTTTTGGTATTCTAATATGGAAGTAAGTTTCTTGTACACATCTATCTTAATCATAATTCACTTCTGTACCTAAACATAGATTTAAAACTCTCACCATCCTCAGTGTCTGTTGTATTGTTGCTTTGACTCTTGGCCTCTGTGGTCCTCCACTGTCCTGAGCAATACAATAGATTCTATGTGCATATACATTCACTTAAGTACTTCTGGAAGAGACATCTCTGTCATTCATACTCAAACTTTATTTTTCTTTTAAATGGGGTCTTACTATGTAGCCAGATTTGGCCTTGAACTCTTTGTGGACCAGGCTGTCCTCAAACTCACAGAGCTCAACTTGCCTCTGCCTCCTGAGTGCCGGGATTAAAGTGTACACCACCATAGTCCTCACTGTAAATTTTTAAAAAGTGTTTTTACTCTTGAGAGCAAAAATCATCTTATTTTATAGTTTTGTATGTAAGACCTATTGGATTTCTCTTATTAAACAAATAAGCCAAGCACTGTACATACACACACACACACACACACACACACACACACACACATGCACACACACTTGAATTTTTATTATGGTTGGTCATTCATTATTTTAAAATAAAAATAAAATATTATGAAAATGCATATTTTTTAAAAGACTTCTATTTTCCAGATAAAACGATGCATTGCTTTCAGGGTATACATTTTTTACCTATTTTATTTATTGAAATTTATAGAAAAATCTATTTTTTACTTTTAAAAAACGCATTAAATTATACATTACAGCTTTAAAATCATAAAAATATGCTTATTTCTTATTGGGTTCAAATTCCTGAATTTTAATCTTTATAACCTTTGAAACTGGTGAATTTAAGGATGTCCTAGAGCTGCCTGCTCATCAGAAGTTTAGCACTTTGTGCTTACTAGTGTGTGATCGATATCTCTACTAGCTCTGAACATTTCAATACTATTTTTATATTTATTTTCTTCTGATTCTTTGAAAATTGATGTTACATGCTTGGTGTATAAGGTACATTAGCCTTTATATTAAGTACATTGAAGTAGAACAGCCTTTTGAATAGCTGCTAACCACTGTATATTAGGATTTAGTGTGACAGCAACTATAAATAGTTGAGAGTGATCTATACTGTGAAAATTACACATTGATTATCTGCGAACATACCTTTTTGTCTTCTTTATTGTAGGAATCATGGGTAAAGAAGGAAGACAAGCTGCAAGAAACAGTGACTATGCAGTGGCTAGATTTAAATTCCTCTCCAAGCTACTTTTTGTTCATGGCCATTTTTATTATATTAGAATAGCTACCCTTGTACAGTATTTTTTTTATAAGGTGAGTTTCATTGGATTATAAGAATCAGTTTTTGATATTTTAACTTGAAATTCCAATTTAAGAATGTTACAAGCATTCAAATTATTCTTAAAATAGTTTCTTTAAACAAAAATATCTACTTTGTAATAAATTTATTGCTGGCTGACTGCAGATGAGTGCTTGTACGTGCCACTAGGACACGGGGTAGGATTGTTTGAAGGGCTAGTAGAGCATTTTTGGGTCAGTGAGAGGGCTCGATGGGTGAAGGGTGTTAATAAGCCTGATACCCTGAGTTCAAACCCAGGACCCCCATGGTACACAGAGAGAACTCCTAAAAGTTGACCTCTGATTTGCACATATGTGCCATGATGTGGATTTACTCACTCTCTCTTGTCTTCCTGTCTCTTTCCCCCCACCACGTCTTTCTCTCTCTCACATACACACAACCAATATGAAAAATGAACGTGCACACACACACACACACACACACACACACACACATACACACATACACTTTTTGGGAAAGTCCTCTAATCTTATGGTATGTAAATTTATCAAGCATCAAAACTTACACTTAAGATGTATTATTCTATGCAAATTCAACTGCAAAAACATGTAATTTGCTTAATACTATTTTATGTTGGTCTAGTAAATTTAATTGAACCTCTGATTTCATGGATTCATAGCAGAGCTCCTTAATCTTTTTAGTTTCAAGGGTACCCATGTGGTAAACTAGTAAATGCATAAGCCTCTTAGTTACAGAGGGTTTATTTGTATAATAAAACAGATTATAATGTTGAAATAATGTTCTCTCATTGGACCCTTTCAAGGAAGATGAGATTCAGTGGAACCCATGTTGATCCCCTGCTAATAAACATTTACTGTACCAGAATAGCTTATGTTGTATGTGTTCCTGTAATTAATAGTCACACACTGATAGAACACAAATTTGCATATTACCATGAAATGATTGACAGTTGTCTTCTAGCCTACTGTTCTAGCTTTCACTTGTGATATGAGTAGTTTACATGTTTCTGGAGAGTGATGGGGATGAGGCTCTTCTGCCTTGTTCTAGCTTCACTTCTGATATGAAAAATATTGAGATAGAAAGATGTTATGATAGTCCACTTACATGCTTTAAATAGTTTGGCAATATCAAATTATATAGCCCTGAAATATAAGCAACTATTACATATTATAATATCTATGATACGAATTAAGAGTTAAAAACTTATCTTTTACTGCTTGGAACTGATGGGAACTAAGAATTTTCATTATAATGTCTATATGATTCCTTAAGCAGCTTCTAGACATGATTTAGTAAAATGAGAATTCTATTTTCTCATTTTCCATAGCCAGGTCTTTAGAGAAAATGCATCTTTCAGTATCAGCTGAGATTCTGTTTCTGGATACTTTAGGAACCACTTTAATACTTCTTTCTCTTTAGTTATAAGTATTTGAATTACTTCCTATTTTGTCCTGTTTTTCAGAATGTGTGCTTTATCACACCCCAGTTTTTATATCAGTTCTACTGTTTGTTTTCTCAACAAGTAAGTAAAATAGAAGTTTGTGTTTGTCCTTTTAGAAAAGTAATGTGTTCAAATCTTGACAGGTATTTAAACAGACTTCATTTTTTTTATTTGTTATGTAAGTAACTAGGTATATTTACTTAATCCACTTGATATTCATATTTATTCTGACTTTGAATTTGAGATTACTGTTAATACCAAAATATATGTTAATTGTGGACCCCTTTTTTTTCAAACTTACATTAATTCTCTTCATTTATTTGTGTGTTTGTTTGTTTATTTATGCAAGGTTTTATGTAGCCCAAGCTAGCCTCTTACTATGTAATCAGGGATGATTTGAACTGGTGGTCCTCTTGCCTCTACTTCCCAAGTGGTAGGATTGCAGGTGAGAGTTACCACAACCACCGCTCCAGTTAATGTATTGCTAGGTGTTGAACTCCAGTCAAGGACTCTTAATAACTGACTCACCTTCCCAACCTTGATAGCCGCGCTTTTTTTTTTAACCTATTTGTGGCATTTCTGTAGAATCGATAGCAAGTCAGACCAAGGAATTAATAGAGGTTCACTTAATTATTTTGATTCCTAATCCTGAGGTTTTAAAAATTTGGTGAGAGCCTTGGTGATTTTGGTTCAGGGATTATATAAATCTCACCTCAAAAACTGGCTTTACATTATTAATCTTTTCACATAGCTCACTATGGATCCTAAAATGATTGCTACGTTTTTTTCTAATCTTTATTTATGATTTAAATTTGTGAATTCCTCTTCATAATTGCTTTTTTCCCCTATTTACAGTACAGAGCTTTAACTTTTAGATGGCTTCATAGACATCGATTACTAGCAATTGCTTACTTGAATTAAATACTTTAAGATCATATGACAATAGGAACCTGATATATTTTGACTGGGTTTTCAAAGAGACAGTATTAGTAAGTGTCTTCATTAGAGTTTATATTACTGTGATCAAACATCATAACCAAAAGCAACTTGGAAAGGAAAGCATTTATTTCATTTTACAGCTCTCAGGCCACACTCCATCCCTGAGGGAAGTCAGGGCAGGAACTCAAGGTAGGAACCTGTGGCAAGAAGTGAAACAGAGGCCATGGAGGAACACTGCTTACTGGCTTGTTCATTCATAGTTGCTCAGCCTGCTTTGTTATACAACCCAGGACCACCTGCCCAGGGATGGCACCACCCACAATGGCCTGGGCCCTCCCCCATCAGTCATTAAGGCAATACTGCCTACAGTCAATGTTACGGAGGCATTTTTTCATTTAAGATCCTCTTCTCCCCTGTATGTCTGGTTTGTGTCAGGTTGACAAAACCAATCAGCACAGAGACAGTAGGAGCAGTGTGTGGACCACAGGTAAACAGCTAAAGCATTAGTACCAACAGTAACAACTAGAACACTTGAAAGAAAGATGGTATCATCGAGGACTTACGCCACTTTAAAAGAAAAAAATAGCTTCCGTGGAAAAAAGAGGTTTCAGTACTCTAAGCAGTACAGAAGAAGGTCTGTGGGAAAATGATGTGTTGTCTGTCAGAGAACTAGCCAGGATCCTAGGATGCATATAGGAAGACTGTAAAACTGTATCACACTGACCAAACTGGAGACTCATGAGATGGAGATCCAAATTACTTCATTATAAAAAACGATGTAACAAAATATTTCAATCCCACAGACAACATAGATCTAGGAACAGTATAGGTTCTGTACTAAAACAAATCACATTGATTAATTGAAAGTCTTTAAAATGGATTTTTGTATGAATTTTTAAAATTAAGGTACTTATTTTAAATATTTCTCCAGTATTACATGTGCAATGGAAATATATAATTTATAATCTCAAAATTCCTCCAATTTATTTCTCTTTTTAGACACTATATGACAGCGTGTATCTGACTTTATACAACATCTGTTTTACTTCCCTACCTGTTCTCATATACAGTCTTTTGGAACAACATATAGACCCTCATGTATTACAGAGCAAGCCTACCCTCTATCGGTATGTATTTTCCAGTATTGGATGTGTATAGGTAGTGTCTTGGTATAAATACTAAAGCATGATTGCTGCATGGCATGAAGTTTTTCAATATTAAAGAGAAATTTCCATAAATTTCTGGTGTTTTTAGGAGTAAACACTTCCACCCTTGAACTGTTATACACAGCGTTCTATTCCATGTACACAAGAGAAGTTACTCATTTGTTAATAGTATCTAGAGTTCCTAAAAAATTGTTTATGTTCTACTATTCTATAATTTATTAGTGTTAATCAAAGTTGAGTGCAAGTGAAGGAGAATAGTTCCTGCTCTTTCCGGAACTGCCCCAAACCAAGTAATCCTGGAGCTGTTGAGCCTGTCAGGTCCAACGGTGATCCTCATAAACTGTTGTAGAGACTGTAGAGGTGGCAGGTGCAGACACAGACAGTTATGGTGTGGAGTCGCTTGCTCTTGTTTACCAGAATTCCTAGGACAGTCTGTTATTCACATAATGGTTAAGTTCTAAAATGAAGATAATGAGGAGCCTGGGTGCTGACTCCAGCTTGTATCTCACTAAAGAGATTGTTATGGCAGAGTGACTGAATGAGAACGGAATATAATACACATAATTCGTTTTTTTCACAATTATACTGAAGTACTATGCCTGCATTGTGTTTTATTATCAAATGAAATGGTACTAGAATTTATTATATGAACTCTCCACTGTTACAAAGATACATGCTATTATTAGAAATGGTTGTTTGCAAATAGGTTTATTTTTATGCTGATATTTTTTAGCCATCTTAAAATTCTATTAGTTCAAATTAATTGTCTAGAAGATTTAAAAAAAAATGAATCCTAATGTGTTCCTTTTTCTTTTTAAAAATAATTTTAGGGACATTAGTAAAAACAGCCTCTTGAGCATTAAAGCATTTCTTTACTGGACCATCCTGGGTTTCAGCCATGCCTTCATTTTCTTTTTTGGATCCTATTTTCTTGTGGGGGAAGATACATCTCTGCTCGGAAATGGCCAGGTAAAAAAAAATAAGAAGAAGAATGCTTAAAAATGTTAACAATGTTGAAAAAAATGTAAGCTTAAATCACTTCTCCTTAGCCTGATCCTCCAAATGCCTCTGCCTCACCTATTGCTGAAGAGGATGTCAGTGTGGAAAGAGGTGGTCTTTATGAGCTTAATCCTCACCCTCAAAAAGAAGTCACCAAATGTGACTTATACAAGAAAAATGCTGTCTGCCTTCTTTCTAGGGAATGTAACATAGCATATCTTAAGGAAAACCAGATCCTCAGGATTAGGACATGTGGTTTCTACCAGAGGTCAAAGTTGCCTGCTTATATCAAAGTACTTGCTACCATGAAGAGAATGGCACTCCAGGATTTTAGTTGTTACCCATTGATTTTTGGAATTTCTAAGTCTGCATATTTCAAAGATTGAGAAATAAGCATTGGTTTAATATGCTTTCTGCATTTATATCTTCTTGGCAGACTGCAAGCTGCCCTCAAATAAAGGAATGTTAATTGCTATTCCATTGTTGACAACACATGTATTTACCATTTACTTTTTATGTACCAGAACCTTTCTCCTTTTTGCATGTTTTATAATTTACTAACATCTGTGAGACTTCCCCTCACTTTACAAATGATGTGAGAGTCAGGGAGCTTGAGCAATTTGCCGGGTGATCACTGTTAGAAATGTACTTGTTAAAAAAAACAAATTGGCCTTTTGCATAAAAGTCGAAATGTCAGGATTATAACTGCTTTCTTTGTAAACTAAATTCATATAAGCTGCATACTTATGGTCTTAATATGGAAATAAGATCTTGATAGTCTTTTGGGATTCTGTGTGTGATGGACTTTGTAAGTTTGGACTATAAAGACCAAAAATACTTCTGATTGACATTACTTGTAGTCACATTCCATTTTTTATGTGGAATCATTTGAAGAATAGTTCTGTTAGCCATTTTTTTTTTTTATTTCAGATACTGGTTTTAAGTTTAAATATAATTTTTTTTTTTTTGCTTACTAAGGTTTTCTATCCAGATACATTGTAGCAAATGTTCTGCTGTAACTTCTGGTTGGAAATGTTTCAGAAAAATAACTGGTGAAGCAAGGTTTTATTATCATTTTTATGGGGAACAGGAATAAAGCAATCACAACTATATCATCCTAATTAAAAACAGTCTGTGATTCACAGTTCTGAATTCTGAACTGTCTTTTGATTTCTGGTATTATCCAAAGGGTCATTATCAAGAATAGTTACCATAATAAAGCTTCATTATTTGTCCTCATACTTATAACTTTATTAATACTGTCAGTGTTCATGTGTATATCTGTCTTAAATAATTCAGTTAATTTTTTGTAAAGAGTAAAATTACTTTTACCTTACAGTGAGATTAACTTGTTGATATATATAAAACGGTCTGTTCCTTGTATTTAGATGTTTGGAAACTGGACATTTGGTACTTTGGTCTTCACAGTCATGGTTATTACAGTCACGGTAAAGGTATGATACCATGTGAGAAACCTGTACACACTTTGTATATCTCATTTACTTTATCTTTTAGCTATGCATGTAGTTTCCCTTTTGCTTTCACTAAATTTTAATCATTCATTTAAATTTTGCTGTAAATTCTCCTTCCTGTTCAAAAGCTTCATATGGTTTTGGTTGCAAATCACTGAAATTTTGCTTCACTGTGTATCACCTAAATAACACAGTTTATTTTGTACCATAGAATTGAGGTAATGTCATCACATGGTATTTCAATTCTGCTTTCCCTCAGAAGGAAAATATTACATTATTTCCTATGAAGACTCTTTTATTAATATTATATCTTCTAAGGAACTATGCCATGGGGATAGGAACTTCTAGACATCTATAATTGATACGTGTAATTCTCAAGTTTTATCTAGAAGTTGAAGTAAACTATTATTTTATATTGCTAAGACACTTATTTTTTTTTTTTAGATGGCTTTGGAAACTCATTTCTGGACTTGGATCAACCATCTTGTTACCTGGGGATCTATTATATTTTATTTTATATTTTCTTTGTTTTATGGTGGAATTCTCTGGTGAGTGATTGCAGTATGTCTTAATTATGTTGATTTAATATAGTGAACAGTTATTGTGATGGGTTCCTTGATAACCAAATTCTGCTCCTAATAGTTTTTAGACACTGTGCTGGTAAGTTCATTCCTTTGAGTTGATCTTCACAAAATTCCTACTGTCCTCATTTTTCTGCATGAAAACTGAACCTCACGGACACAAAGTTGAAAATAGAAGAAAGCTAGGCCGTAAACTATTTGTCTGACTTCATAAATAGTGTTCTTTATACTAACCGTTATTACTTTTAAATTATTTTCTCATGTATGTAATAAGTCATACAAACCCTTTGGCTTTTTATTGCTAACATCTCTCTCAAAGGTTAATAGTATGCTTCATCTTCATTAAATGTAGATCATTAGCAGGCTTTTTGAAAGATTGATAATTATGCTTCCCTAAGATGTTTTTGGTAAGTGTTGGTAAACTGATACCTTTCTTTTGGAGAGCATATATATTACAGTGTCTATTGTACCTTAGATCCACTTAGCAGGCAAAACTTTCTCAAGGTAAGCACAAAGAACTTGAATTGACTGATCATTACCTTCCATAAAAGGATCACAAAAGAGCACACTTATGCATACTGTTTGTCTGTAACCTTTCCCTATTCGTTTCCATATTCCCCTATAGTCTCTTGAAGTTGATATATACAAAACCCAAAAAGAATGCCTTCATAATACCATGATCTAGCATCTCTGAGTGTGTTTATAAAGAAAAGCCTAGCTTTCAGTCTGGTGGTGACGGTTGTAGTGACACCCCTGTGGATAGCAGAGGACAGCTTTATAGCACCAGTTCTCACCTTTGACCTTGACTGGGTTCCAGGAAGAAAGCTCAAGTTGTCAGACCTAGGCAGCACATGCTTTACCTGGCTGAGCCATCTCATTGTCCCAGTTTTGTTTTGTTTTTGTAACCAGTAGAAGTATATCCTTACATACTATTTCTTGTTCTCTTATTTCTATAGTCTACATTAGTCTACTCTTCATTATTCTTTTAATAACTTTCCAGGAAACTGGGGTTAATCTAGTTAATAGCTTGTCATTTCCCTATTAGTAAAAAGGTATAATTGTTAAAAATTATTAAACTGGATTTTACATGTTAGCACACTCCATCTCATTAGTTTATTTAAGTTCTTCCCGTTTCAATTTAGAAAATTTTCCTGGCACTCTTAACGTTGTTATTTTTCAGTTATTTGAGTTTTGGCAAAGTCTTGATTTAACTCTTTGAATTTTTGTTTCACTTGTTTGTTTCTAAAGCAGCATCTCCCTGTGTAGGCCTCAAACCCAAGGTTCTGCCTACTCTTCCAAGTGTTTAGATTACTGGCATGTGATACTGTACCCAACCAGTGTCACTTTTAATGAGACTATCTTTCTTTGCAGGCCATTTTTGAGCTCCCAGAATATGTACTTTGTATTTATTCAGCTCCTGTCAAGTGGGCCGGTGTGGTTTGCCATGCTCCTCATGGTTGTTACTTGTCTAGTTCTTGATGTTGTGAAGAAAGTGTTTGATCGACATCTTCATCCAACAAGTACAGAAAAGGCACAGGTAGGCACTTTTCATACTCAGTAACTCTTTAGTCAGAACAGTTAGTGACGGGTAACTACAATTACAAAGTTCTTTTGTCAGAAAATTCTTATTTCTGTATCAAAGAATTTTCCAGTATTTTTAAGTGTGATACTTTTGTTTTCTTTCTTTTTCTATTAATTTTTATAGCTTCTAGTATTATAATTTTAAATATCAAGCTATCAAGTTATGTCCAGATGATAATAATACTAAATCTGCTTCAAATGCCACAGCATTGCATCAGCTAGCTATGACTAAAGTATATAGCCATGTCCTATTATTATTATTAGCAGACATTAACAGTATGCTAAAGCTCAGGGATATGATATTTGGGGACCGATACTGTTTCAGCCACCAGCTATGCCACTAAGTAGCACTAGGACTTTGAGCCTCAATTTCTTCATTGGTGAAATTATGATAGAAATATCTTTCATTCCCTTTGCAGTGAGGATTAAAGGAAAGAATGTTTAAGCACAGTAAATGCTAAAGAAATGTTTCCATTAGTCACATCAGCATTTATTTATCATTTAGTTAGTTTGGCAATATAATTCTAGTGAATGTGTATTTGGTACAGTATAAAATGGTGAGGATGAGAGTATTACTCTGACATACTGATTTCTAAATGGTGCTGAAAAAGTTACATGATTTCTGTGGCTACCTGTGTGTATATGTGCATTAGCAGGAACAGAATATTATTTAAATCCATATCAGAAAGATTTATCTTATTTTTAATCTTCAGAAGTAAATATATATAGTCAAAGTATTACTTTTAATATGTTTATTATATTTGTTTAGGCTTTTCAAATGAAGATTTTGTTTTTAATTTTCAATTATATATATTTGTATAGAGGGTATGTGCACATGAGTTCAGGTGCCGTGGGAGGCCAGAAGAGAGTATTAGCTCTCCTGGAGATAGAGTTACAGGTGGTTGTGAACCACCCATAGTGGTTACTGGGAACTGAACTCAGTTTCTCAGCACGAGAAGTATGTGTGCTCAGCCATTGCTCCAACCTCACTTTTCTAGACTTTTATGGAGGATAGTTTGTCTCACACTGTGGTCTATATTACATTTCCCCAAAAAGTTATGAGTAACAAGATATTAACATTTATTTGCATTTGTCCTTAATTGTTCTGTGGATTGAAAGCTTCAAGTGTTATTTTCCTAGGGATTGCTTACTGATCCAAAAGGTATGATATTACTTATGCTAAAAAAAATACTCCATATATTTGTTTTAACATAAGTTAAAATTTATTTTAAAAAAGGAATTTACACTAAATCATTTTATCATCTATGAAGTCAGAATAATTTTCCCTTTTTTCTATGTAAATTAGTATCCAATAATTAATGAGACGTCTGGTTGTTCTCGTTTGGGAAAAGGAAGGAAAGTTTTACTTCCATTCATGGGTCTTCCAGCCTGTTGCTGTCATGTTGTGTTTCTTCTTCTCTTTTCTTTTTATACTGAGACAGTATGTGTCATTTATATCACAAATGTGATATTATTCCTTTGTTGTAAGCAGTAATCATTTCAGCTTCTACTGTCACTTCTGATTTCAAATGATGAAGAAATGGATACTAAATTTTCAGATGCCTCATTGTTTACCAAAGATAACAAGAAACGTCACATCAAAGGGAGGGCTGCCAACATTCATTCTGAGTGTGTTTTTCTTCAGAATAAGAACTTTTTTTTAAGGCCAGCATCCTACAAATACCAGTTGTATGTGTACCATGCATATTTCCTGATCTTGTGGGAACAAGTGTTTGGTATTTACAAAGCTTGTCCTGTGTCTGTCTCCCAAATGATGAATACAGCTCACTGACTTGTGTGTGTCCCATCCCTTTTCTGTCCACTTATAGATGTACTCCAACACAGTTGCTTTAAGTGACGAGTTCATCGCACTGCAGCCTTTGTCGAGGGCAAGGAATCAGCTGAGCAAACTTAGGTAGAGTAGGAGTAGAGCCTTGTTAATCCTTGTGCATGCCAAAGGTCAATTAAATAATATTCAAAAGATGGGCAGATGCATCAATAAAGAGTCGAGCATTTTTGTTAGCACAGCTCTGTCTCTAATTTGACCTTAATTAATACATATATTAAAATTTAAAAGTGATATCCATTCTTCTTCAAGAAGAAAATTCGGTGGAAATTGAACATGAGGACAGAGAACTGTACCTTGTTGCATATTTTTACACCTATCTTTTCTAGCATAATTCTAATGCTTCTGCTTGTCATAGTCGTATGTAAGAATGCTCCTGCATGTTGGGTAGTTAAAAAGTTATCACAACATTTAAACCTAAGTTGTAATCACTTGGAAGTAAGAATTGCCCGTTTTTTGTCTTTTTTCTTTTGTCTTGCCTTAATCTGTGATATAAATACATGTGCGTGTGTGTCTTTGTATACTATGGTGGCTGCGTAAGTATCTCATCTTTGCTGTTCTTTACTGCATCTATAAATTGAAATGTATATTTTATATATCTTATATTTAAGTCTATCTCCACAGCCATGCTAGTTTGGAAGTTTGCAAAAAACAACCACTAATCTCAAGATGTCTTTTGATAGAAGGAAATGAAAGCTGAAATCCTAGAACTTTTGATACTATAACATGTCATATATATATATATATATATATATATATATATATATATATATGACAATTTTTTTTTTGTTTTGAAACAGGGTCTCTGGCTGTACTGGAACTCACTATGTAGACCAGGCTGGCCTCAAACTCACAGAGATCCACCTGTCTCTGCTTTGTGAATGCTGGGATTAAAGGCATATGCCACCAGCCTGGCAATTATGTATATTTTTAATTATTTTTAATTCTCAAAATTTCTAATTTGTGTGTATTCAATTTATCAAATGAATAGGTTTGACATAATACCATTTAACCTTCAGGTGGGAGAGTACAAATTTATAACTTACAAGGTGTTTTAAAGTCTTACTAACCTTTTTATGTTTTTATTATTGGCTTTACATTTCTTCAGATGTTTTACTTTGAATGATAACTATAATAATTATGCTATTATAGCAAATGAGTGGTAAGAAAAATAGCAAATGAGTGGTAAATCATTTTTCATATTTACAAGATCTAAATGTGAAAGTTTGATTTTTACTTTTGGTTGAGGCAAATATGTATATCCCACTTTAATCAATAGCTGGTTTTCTATAATCAGTGGCTCTCTATCTTATATATGAGGATCTGCCAATAGGAGAGTTTATTATATAAAAGAACACTGACCAGCTCTTGTTAAGGGAAGATAACTTGCATTGTGATTAACCATATTGTTATGAATTCGTAGTTTTACATATTTGGCTTAAATCAAGCCCCCTTTTAAAAAGCAATACTAGACATAAAAGAATGAAGAAAGAAAATGGTATTTTAATATTGTAATAAACTGGTAGCATTACCATTCTTCTGAAAGATTACCATGAAAGCAGCTCTTTGGGTCAGGTGTCACAGAGGAAGGACTACTACTCCCCTCACAGCTGGCCTGAGTGCTGGTACCACACTCTGTCCTTCTAGTGTGTTGCTCTGTACACATCCCAACATGTTCTCCTTCCTAGAAGTCTAGGTTTGTTACATAGTACATGGATGCTTTTTATACTGTTAACTGAAAATCAGCAACAATGAAAAACAATAAGAAGCCACTGCTCTCAGCCAAAGCCAGACAGAAAGAGACTGGAGAGATGGCTCAGTGCTTAAGAGCAGTGGCTGTTCTCTCAGAGGACAGCACCCACCTGGTGTCTCACAACTGTTTATAACTCCAGCTCCAGGGGATCTAACACCCTCTTCTGGCCTCCACAGGCACCAGGCTCAGGCTCATATATGCATGAAGGCAAAACATTCATACACATGAAAAATATTTTTTTTTAAGTTGACATTCCCTGAAGAAATATTTTAACTTAATTTTATTAACCAGTGAATCATGCCCTCTTTCTGCATTTGCTGTTTATGGGCCACGTGACCCTTCTGCTCTCCGGTCCAGTTAAAAGTAGAGCAGTGTCCTGAGGTGAGAGTGTATGGGTGAGAAAACAAATGCTAAGGCTTGATGGCACTTAGTTTTCCAGAAGAAATAGAATTTAACTAAAGAAAACTTGGTTTTTACTAGACTGTGTGCTTCTAAGAGCTTCGCACTCATGGCTTCTTCGTATGGTATGCTTTGCTGTATTCTCCAAGAAGCTCCTTGGCTCCTTCTGTCCTGTGACAGTAACTGTTGTGTGAACTGCTGTTGTGTGAACTTTCTGTCTGTGCCTCACAGATTGTAGCCCCACCCTACTGCTTTGATTTTAAACTATAGACTGTGAGAGTATTATTCTAATAAAAGACTTACTGCTTTTCTGTCCTTCTAGATGGAAGAAGATAAGGGTTCAGTCGGCTCAGCATATGAATTTGCTGAAAGCCAGCACAGAGGGGAGGACAGTAGGCACCTGCTAGCTGAGGTGCAGCCAGCAGGACAGTGGTTGCGTGCACTAGGTAGTACTTTGCTGGGCCTTCTTGGGGACTCCTACACTGCATTATCATGCTTGGGGTATGCCATGGAGAATCGGCATCACATTTCCATTTCACTGTACTGATTCTTCACTGTTCCTTGTTCTTTACCTCGTTTGTACCCCATAACTTTTTTATGTTTATCCCTGAATTTCTTACTCATGTTTCTTTGGATTTATAGTGATAAATCACACTTCACTTCAGATTCTATCATAGTAAGGTGTTTTCATAGCCTGTTGTCTTACATTCAAGAAGTTACTCCTTTCCACTTCTTTTGAAAGTATGTCATGCCTTATCATTTTGAAATCATTATCCCCTTTGAAGTTGTAATTGTGTATTTTTATGTGTATATTTTAATGTGGACACTGAATTACTGAAGTCTTCCTCTCTTTGGAGTTGAATAATCAAATGAGCAAGTGTGCTTAGACTGAGTGACTGGTTTTCCACTAACTGGCATTTAACAGACCTGTCTTTTTCATATATTTTCATAGATGTAGCTCTATAAAAACATTAATTGTTGGGGCTGCAGATGGCTCAGTGGTTAAGAATACTTGCTGTTCTTGCAGAGGACCTGGGTTTGGTCCCCAACACCCACATGGTGACTCACAACCATCCCCAGGCATGTACATGGTACACATACATAGATGCAGACAAAACACTACATGAAATAAGTAAATCTAAACAATATTAATTGTTATGGGAATAGTTTACTCCTCTTTTGAAGAATAAATCTAAGCTACTTCTAGATATAATTGGGATATGAACAACATTTTAGTTTGTAGTACTTATAAATCCTACCACCAGTAATTGTATTTTTCCTTACTTGTCATTTTATTGTGATTTCTGTTGAAGAAGGTGCTATAGTCCCATCTGTAATAAGCAAATAGAGGAACCTGAAGACAGAGCCACCTAGAGTATAAGTCTTTCAGCTTTATTGTAAATCAGATCATGGAACATATGCAATAATTTGAAAAAATAGGAATTATCCTGTGAGACATATTTTAAAGTTAGATTCCTTTGCCCTCAATGAGGGCAGTTAATTGGATCTCAGTAATTAGTAGTAGTAGTAATAATAGTAGTAGTAGTAATTCAGAAGAAATTTAAATGAATTCTGAATTTTCATTTTGATTTGATGTTTCAAAAGATCATAGTTAGGTGGCTGGAGATGTAGCTCAATTGGTAGAGTGCTTGCCTAGCCTGCACAAAGCCTTGAGTTCAGTCCCACCACTACATAAACTGGGCATGGTGGCATATATCTTCAATCTCAACACTCAGGACATGGAGTCAGAAGGGTCAGGGAGGAGTTCAAGGTCATCCTTGACCTCATAGCAAGTTTCAGGTCAGCCTGGGATGAATGAGACCCTGGACTTTATAAGTCAAGTTCCTCCTTTTCACCTAGGACATTTTAGTGTTTAACAAATACTGATGCTCTTCCTTACCCAAACTATAAATTCCCAGCATATATTGTTAAAGAACCAGTTGAATAAAAATATCATTTATATAAAAGGATTCTCCAGTCTCCTTTGAAACTAGGAATAAGTCAGTTGTTAAAATGTTTATATAATAATCTAATTTTTCATTTATTTTAGTTTTACATGTGTGGTGTGTGTGCATATGTGGGGTATGTGTGCACGTGTATGGGTGTGTTTAGGCATGTTTGTGTGTGGAGGCCCCAGGCTAATGCTGGAGGTCTGTCTCCACTTTCTCCAGCAGGGTCTCCCTCTCGCTCTTGCGCTCACGCTCTCGCTCTGGCTCTCAGTTTAATCTGGCATTCCCCATTTCAACTGGTTGAGCTAGCCAGCTTACTCTAGGAAAAAGAGCCCTGTCTCTACTTTCCCAGTACTGGAGTTAGACAGGCTGCCACGCCCAGGGCTCCTGTGGGTTCTGGGGCTCCAGTGCAGTCTTCATGCCTACACTGCAAGCTCTTTGCCTGCTGTGCTCTCTCCCCAGCTCCCAGTCAATATAGTTTTTAATTATATGCTTATTTTGGTGTTGAAGTGAGGCACCATGTGTAGAAAGCTCCCCAGCCAACATGGAGAGATTTCATTTATGTTTGTAAATGTCTTTCAAAGTTTTATCATTCTGGAGTTGTTTGTGTCACTTAGAGGGAAAGAGAACAGAAGGGTGATTGATCAAACTGTAAGCTGGAAACAGGTTCTGGATCCAGAAGGATGGCCAGCCATCCTGAACCATCCCCAACTGCTGTATGAGGAGATAAAGCTCTTGCTTGTTCTAGAGAATTTATGATTCTTAACAAAATTTGAAATTCAGCAATAATTTGTGATCTTTGATTTCACATCAAAAAGAAAACATTTCTCTAAAAGCAAACCTTATCTTTTTTTAATATCCTGTCCATCAAGTACCAATACTGTTATGCTTGTGATAAATATGAATTCTTAAAAGTATAATATGTAATGATATATGGAAAATAATCCCTGATTTTAAAAAAGTTGTTAGGTTTAATAGTTACAGGGTTAGTTTGTCAAATTGCTCTAAAGTTTTTCTTAACTCTGTCTCTACCAGATCAGAAACACTTAACCTCATACCCAGTGAAAGTCTTTGGAAGTTAGCATTGAGTCACCTTCTCACTGTGACTCACACTGCTGCTCTGACCTTTCACCCTTTCCTTACCCTCACCTCACTAGATGAGTGTAGGGTTGGTCCCTCTGAGAACTGCCACAGTGCCTTCTTTTGACTTTCAGGACTTCTACCATTCAAGGGATGCTCCAAAGCAATAAAAAGAATCCAGAGAGATTCCTGCAGTTGGAGTGAGATAGTAGTATTTAACCTGAACCGTGCCCACGGGCATGAACAACACCTTCATCAGCTGGTGTGGAGCATAGAGCAGGGCAATCCCATCAGGAAAGAAGCTGGAGTCCAGTGCTTTGCCTCAGCTTGAGCGTGTGGGAACACAGGAGTCAGCAAAGCCTAAACTGGGAACTGATGAGAACCTGTTGCCTAGGGCAGGATTACCCAGACCCCTTCGTTGTACATTTCTATTACTTCTGTGATAGTGAATGGGTCCTGTTTCTTGGTACATTGGGTGGGATAAGGGAGCAGTTTCTGACCAACACAAAACGGATTCCATGGAGTGTGGTGTGTGTGTACGCGCGCGCGCATTTTTTTGTATTGTTTTGGTATCTTTTGTCCTACTGGTTTTTGCTTCTTTGTGGGTTCTTTTTGTTTTTTTGAGAGAGAGAGGGAAGGAGAGAGAGAACATAAAGTTGGGTGGGTAGGGCGTGGGGAGGATCTATAAGGAGTCTGAGGAAGAGAAAGAACATGAAATATATTGTATGAAAAAATGAAGTTGATTGTAGAATGGTGGGCTCAGGCTCCACCAGTTGAGGCTTATGCACATTCCTGACTCTAAAGTCTGTTTGAAGCTTTGTTGGGTTGGTGTTTCCCAAGCTCCCTATTTGGCCATAGGAACTCCTCTCTGAACTGTTTATGCAAACATCTCACAGAACACAGTTAAAGCAATGGTACATTAAATAGGTCCTGAACCACGATATGTTAATTAAAGAATATGTGAGCTCTGCTCTCTCAGTGCTTCGCAGGGCCCAGCGTTTGGGTGTGACAGGCGCTGGCCAAACAAGAAACCCTCTTCCACTCCCACCACTTGGAATGAGCAGGGGCTCCATACATGGATCTTGTAGGACTCCACCATTTGCTTGCTTTCAGAATATCAGGTTATTTACATTTCACATGTGTGTCTCTGTCCATTGTGAGTTTCCACAGTGTCTTCTGTTACCATGCCTCACATGGCACAGTGATTCTCAACCTTGTAGATGTGAGCTTTACCAAATTTATTTCATTCTTATTCCTGATACAGGACATTATATAAATAAAGGAAAATAAATTCAAATAAGTTTTTTAACTTGCACTCAGAAGGTAGAGGTAGATGAATTTTGTGATTTCAAAGCTAGCCTGGTCTACTCACCGAGTTCCAAGCCAGCCAGGACTACCTAACGAGAGCCTGTCTCAAAAACAGACAAAAAACAAAACAAGAATACTCTTGACTACCACAACCAAGGTTGGGATTCATTCAGCCACATGGTCAGACCATTTACCCTCATTTTAATAATTAAAGTTGCTAGGTGTATGGGATTGGATTATCTTGCTGAGCCTGTTTATGCCTGAATCAATATAAATCTTAGAAATTTGATAAATTCAACTTTAAATCTTAATAGTACTACTAACTTGCCTGACAAATTTTGATCCATGTTCCACCTGCTCACTATTAGAATGATAACTTGATAATGGGCAAAGGTGGCATCTTAGAGTTGTTCAGCACAACTTAAAACCTTAAAAGGTAAATGAGTATGGAGTAGCTGTGTTATTTGTTCATGGCACATAAGAAACACTACTAAAGTTCTTACTAATTTGTTGATCTTATTCTTACCAGACAATGTACATCCTGCCAGGTTTATTTCCCAGTCTTCAAGATAGTTTATACTCCACTGTTCTCAGTTGCTGGACATTTGTTCTTTAATCATAACTGCAGGAACATTGCACCTAAGCAAAACTCCAAGATGAATTAGAGTTGTAGTTGACATAAACCAACTTACCATAGCAAATTATTAAGTGGCAAAATAATAAACCTTTGCAGACTTAAGTACCTATCTACCCATCTTTATACCATTATTTAACTAGGCATCTGATTATGATTGTACTTCAAAGAGTTCTGTATATTCCATATTGTAGTAAAACATGTATGTTTGTATCAATCACTTTCAGTTTTAAAATACTTATTTTGATTTCTTAATGGTTTTGTGAAGTCCACATCTATGAATAACTAACTTATGTTCTTCTGCAGCTTGCTGAAGCACATTCAAGTGTCAAGTGCTTGGACTCCATGTGCTGTTTCCCAGGAGAGACCCCTTGCACATCTGTTGGAAGAATGCTGGAGCGAGTCATAGGAAGGTGTAGTCCCAACCATATCAGCAGGTGTGACATTTCACTGCATAGCCGTTTGTACAGACGAATGTCCTGTAAAGGGACAGAAAGAGCCTTGCAGCTGCAGGTACCAGGGAGTCAGCTGGTTTTACCCAGTGGAGGAGGGAGCTTGCTGTTGATTAACTCTTTGTAGTTTTGTGATGTGGTCCTTTGACTCAAAGGAAGAGAAGGCATCTTTGAGGAGACTTTTCCATCCAATGAACAAAATAGTGGTTTTAGTCTTTGTAAGATGCAGTGAATTGGAGTGTGTGTATGGTACTCTTCCCTGGAGTACTACTTCAGTCATTATTATTTTATCTACGCTCCTGTTTTCTTCTCTGCTAGGTGTTTGGTTTTTGTTGATGTTTTTCCTACTGCTTTTTGTCATTACAAAAATAACCTCCACACTCAATGTCAAACACTGTTGCTTTCCTTATTCCTTACCTTTGTTTTCTAAAGCTAGTCAGTGATTCAAGGCTACACAGGAAGGCTGTTCTGTTCATGCTCCTTCCTCAGATGTCTGTAGTGAAGTTTTAAAAGGAGTTTTGATTTTTAAGTTCCTTTGATTTGGCATTTATTGTCCAACTGTATGTTAGAACAGGTTTTAACAATGCTTCTAATATTAACTGATAAATTATGGATCAGAAGAATCTGGGGTTTTGTTGTTGTTTTTTTCATCCATTCTGAAGTCGATTTCCTAATTAGATTTATCACAGCTTGTTTTTATGGATCACAGCCCAAAATTTTATTTGAGGGTAAAAAGCATTTAAAATTCTTTCTTTCTTTTTCTTTCTTTCTTTCTTTCTCTCTCTCTCCCCCTCCCTCTCTCTCTCTCTCCCACTCCCTCCCTCTCTCTCTCTCTCCCACTCCCTCCCTCCCTCCCTCCCTCCCTCCCTCCCTCCCTCCCTCCCTCCCTCCCTCTCTCTCTCTCTCTCTCTTTCTTTCTTTCTTTCTTTGTGTGTTTTCCCAAGATGCAGATGATTATTAGGCACTAGAGAGTGACATCGCCTCTGTGCTTACTCTCACACCACTTCCCCAAGTCAAAGCAGCAGCATACTGGGTATCCGTAAAGGTTGTGATTGACACACCAAGGTGCTAGTTTCCATTCTCCCCGTTGCCCTGGGAATATTCAATCAGTAGCTTAGGAGAGCCCAAGAATACCCTAAAGAGATAAATGAAGTGGGGAAGCATTGTTTTTGCCTTTTGGAAAAATTACTTTTAATATTTGGTTAGCTTTATATTTTGAAAAATAGCAGGCATGACATCACTCATATAACATAGTCTCTTGTGAACATGTTCTCAACTCACTTTGCATTTGGCTTTGCCATGACTTTGTGAATACACTGCCTGTGGCTTCAACCCTCATTTGTCCTGACTTGAATATAACATAGGATCCAAAATATTTCTGTGATGCAATAGTAATTTCATCCTACATGAACAGATTGCTATGAACAGGTAAATGTACTGGAATATTGGTATCTTACATACAGACATTAAAAAAATTATAAGATAGTTCTATAGTGTTCCTAGGTAATAGTTTTACCAAAAGATATTTCAGAAGGGTCTTACATTATTGTTTTATCTATTGACATTCTTTCTTGCTTGGAACCTAGATAGGGATTAGATTAAGATAATATACTAGAACTTCTACATAGTTTTTACTTTTAATAAGAAGTTGTCTTTAATGGTGGTACACATATTTGCTAGTGATTAAAAAGACTAGAATTAATTTTAAATGGGCCTTTTCCCCCATTTTCTGTATACTCTTGCTGTCTTGCGATCAGTTGTGTTCTGTGTCCCCATTCTTTGTACCACTATTTTTCTATCTGTCCCCGCTGGAAATCTATCTGCCTGGGAGTTACTGGATTTATTTTAGCATGTCTTCTTAAAGGTGATTATTACTGCCAGTATTTCTGTTTACTTGGAATCACACCGTATTCATTTTCTAAATTAGTTTTCCTAATAAATGTTCACTTCAGTGGTTAATTCTTTGTTTGGCAGGTACAGTGCCGTCAGCATCGCAGGTTGCACCATTGGCCACTGTTGCCGTTTTCTCCTCAGTGTAGCTAAGCAATCCAAAAACTCTGGGCAGATTTTCCTGCAGTTCAGAGCTGGTTGCTGGTTTTCAAAGGGCTGTATGACAGTTGCTGTAGCCTGTCAGCATTTGTGAAACTCCTAACAGTCATAGTTTCTACGTATTTGATTGAAATAGTTTTAGCATTTCTGTTTTGATATGGAACAGCCACTATTCTACATCTGTGTTTCATGTCTACTTTGAAGGGATAGGTCAAGGCTGAGCCTTCCAGTGCAAGATGTGGCAACTTAGGACTGCTTTACCACTAACAGTACTGAGCATATCTGAAGATAAAAACAACTTCCATATGGCACATGGGCCTGCCCGCTAAGTTCTGCCATCCAGACACAAAAACTTGGTGTGTTTTTTAACTGATGTTGTTAAGGCAGCATATTCTATGGCAAGCTCAGTTTCCAAGGGAACATCATGGTGCTGTGCCACATCTATCCTAAGGAGCTATACTTCAGCAGTGACTGGCGTTCTGTGTGTACTTCACTTTCAGTTATAATGAGTTACCTACTTGTCATCACAGGTACTTGGGAGTTTGAGACAGGAGGATCTTATTTTGAGGCCTGAGCCACCTCATGAGCACTCTCTCTCATACACACACACAAAGGGGGTAGGGAACTAGCATTGTGGTTGTCTTGGTTTCATTTCCTGTTGATGAGGTTGACTCTGACAAAAGCAGCTTTAGGAAGAAAGTGCTCCTTCTGCCTCCTAGTTAAGGGCATAGGCCATCATGGTAGGGAGTCAAGGGAAAAGAAGTTTAAAGCAGCTGGCCACACTGCATCCATAGTCAGCACAGAGAGACAAATGCCAGGGTGAGGGAAGGAGGACACTCTTAGTTCATTGGTGTCTCAGGTGTTTAATACTCTGTCAGAGTGAATGCACGTGTGTTTCAAAAAGAGGAAAAACTAAAGTACACTACCTATTGAATTTGTTCTCTGTAAGCAGTGGTTTCGAAAGAGGAAAAATTAGTGAGAGATTCTTGCAGATTAATATTGGACATTCGACTCCATCGGAGTGTAGGCCGTTAAAATTAAAACAATACTGTTTCCCAAATACTCACAAGAAATATTCATATTCTTACTTTTATTCACTTTCTTTATAATTGGTGGCTGCCTCCTACCTACTAGATTAAGTTCTCAGTGATTGAGAGAGCTGTAAAGAAGACTGCCCTGACGTCAAGGTGGAAGGTCCCTGGCTTCTGACAAGCACGAACACAAGGCTACTGTTAGCAATGATGCTCACTTTGTCAGTGTGTCTGCTTGCTCACAGACCTAAGTTACATACAGTCATTGGGAAACAAGGTGCCGCATAGAAATGACTCAGGGCTTCTAGCTTTAACCCTGTCTAAGGGAGGTGGAGGCCCTGGCAGGAGCTGTGTGCTGTGTGTTTAAAGTTACACGCTTTCTGTTTTTATAAAATTCCTTGGTAAGTTTGCTAGTGTCGTTGGGCTAAGGGCATGTGTCTTGAGCATGGCAGACCGCTTGTGGAGTTGTTACTTCATCTTCAGTTAATTCAGCTAATTCAAAGTGACAGCTGCAAGTGAGCTGTTATATATTGAACTGCTTAGCTTAAGGCCTTGTCAGTCAGCCAGTAGTTACCTTTCCAGACTAGTAAAGAATCTGCAAGTGTCTTTGATACCTTCTGATGCTAACCATTTATGACATTCATGCTAATTAAGCTGAAATTCTTAGAGTAGAATTTATACCCAAAAGTGACCAATTGTATGAATGCTTCGTTCCAAGGCTTTTGGTAGGTAAGAACTATTTTTTTTTTTTGTAATGTCAAAACAAAAATTGACTTGGTTTTCAGTTAAACTGAATGTATAGGTTATTGTTTTTTACTCTTTGCCATTTGTGTGTGTGTGGTGTATGTGTACATTCTTGTGTGTGTGTGTGTGTGTGTGTGTGTGTGTGTGTGTGTGTGTGTGTGTGTGTGCACACTCACACGAACATGCAGGAACTGAAGGCAGGTGTCAGTGCCGTCCTTAGTCGTTCTCCACTGTGTTTATTGAGACAGGTCTCTCACTGAACGCAGTATTTGCCATTTGGTAGGGCTGCTCACCAGTGAGCTTGTGGGACCTGATTGTCTCTGCCCCACACTGGCATCCCAGGCTCACACAGCCATGCTCAGCTTTTTTTGTAGGTGCTGGGGTTCCAAACTGAAGTTGTTGTGTTTGCATTGCAAGCCCTTTATCAGATCCCCAGCACCCATCTCTCTAGCACCCGGATGTGTATAATTCTTAGTAGTATACTTACTTTTCACTAGTTACTAAGATTTCAAAAGTGCTATGTTTACTACTTGTAGAAACTAGGCTAATTTCTGTATATGATAACTAACTATAAGCATAATTTTTCTCAAGCATTTGTATAATCTAGAGTAGGGTTCAATGCTAATTTGGAGAACTCCTTAGTATTTAGAAATGAATCAGTGATTATTTTAAACTTTAAATTGTATTTTGGTCCTATATTTTAGGTCCTGGTTTTTGGCTTGTTTGTTTTCAACTAACCATGGATTGTGATGATCCAAACTTTTCTCTTTGTTACTTTAAGGTTGTGGAGTGCATCGGATCCTTTCTATACCAATGACAGGAGCATCTTGACTCTCTCCCCAATGGACTCATCTACTTGTTAAAGGGACAGTAGGACTCTGTGGGGACAAATTCACCGGTCCTCAGATTTGGGGTCATCATCCTATAAAAGGCCACGGCGGCTCTGAAGTTACTTTCTGAAGTCTCTGGAGGAGTTGGGAGCTTCTTGGAGTTCCACGGGAAACAGGAAGTTACAATAACCCTGCTCTATTCTTTTTCATTGGAATGTGAGCATACTAAAATTTGGGAATAGAGATACTTCCAATCTCTTTGACTGGTTTGTCCCTTCTGCTCATGGGACTCCTGGTGGCATTGCAGCCTTTGCTGGGGCCACTATACTTTTAATATCAAGGTAGAAGAAAGGGGTAACTCCTGGGTATGTGTATTTTTAGGATTAGTGTGGTTCGGGACTCTTCTATTTAAATCTGCTTCTGTAAATTATGCTAAAGATTTGCCTTGAGAACTCTATTTTTTTTATTAGATTATATTTGAAGCTTTTCGTGGGGAAAGTTAATGTGAATATTAAAGAATTTTGGTCCTTCAGTGACCTGTGTTGTTAATTCATTAGTGCTTTTTAAGTCACAGAGCAAACTTGGAGAGCACGTTTCTAAGCCTTGTCTTCTGTAGTGTAGGTAGGAAGCTTGTACTGACACCAGACTTCTTTACCAATACTGTAACACAGCCAGTGAAGCTAACCCTACAAGTGCGAGAGGAGTCTTACATCTCATGTCCAAGTCAGAGCTAGGGCCATCACTAGACTTTCAATTGGTGTTTGCTAATATTTTTGTGGCCAACTATTTAAATCTGTAGTGGGTCAATTAGATACCATTATCACATTAATTTACTGAATCTGTCTTATCTTTTGCATGCTTCAACCTGGCCAATATATTTAAACTGCCCCCCCATTACCCACTCCCTCTCCAAAGACTCTGTTCATAATTTTATGACAATGTTGTAAAGTTCAATTGTATCAATAAAAAAACAAGTTTGAACAGTATTTAAATATTGCAGATACATTTACTTAATACAAATTAACATATAAGCCATAAAATCTTTCTATGGTCCACTGTAAACCAGCCTTGAGAATAAAGGATTTTTGTTAAAAAATCTTTTTTTTTTTTTTAGGTTATTGTATGTTATCTATTTTAAAGCAGACTGCCACAATAAAGTGAATTATGCTTACAGTCTCATTGTAAGGTATATTATCAGGTATGATTGTGGAATGAAAATGACACAAAGTAAAAAAGGCTAAATTTTTGTCAGCAAAAATGAATTTTATCAGCAATAAGTTAATATGCTATGGATGATTAATCAGATACATATTATTCTTAATTCCTTGAATCTCAAGTTTTAGTTTCCAGATGATCTGTCACTGAGACTTCAGTGTTACTTATTTAATGTAGGAGTAGTGTATTAAGATTTGTAAATGATTATGAGAGAACTACCACCTAGCTCTAAGCATGTGATTCTGTACACACCTAAGGTCATAGAAAACAATGCAGTGAGGCTTTGTCAGTTTCCCTCAGAAGCTGGTAATTGCTCAAAGGTTTGTTCTGCAGCTCTCCGGAGGCTCATTCCTCCTCACATGAGTGGGACTTCTAGCCTGGGCTGCTAAGGCAAGAATCGCAGAGGGAGAATGAAGATTGTCTGTGTGCAGATTAACTGTTTGCTTATCTGTTTCACTAATGCAAGATATTATCCATGTTCTCTGAATATTAATTTTCATAAACAGCCCTTCTTTAATTTAGACATTATAGAATTATATTTCTGATGACCTATTATTCTGGAAATACCTTAAAGGGATAATACTCTTATTCTGTTATTCATGATCTAGAGATGAAATATTACATACACATTCAGTACAATAGTTGATAGATAATAAATGCTTTATCCCATAGAATATCTTAGAGAGCATACATGCAACAAAGTGACATTGAATAAGCATGGTTTACCTGTCTTATGGTGTTGATTATTAACAAAGGACTACAAAGTCACCAAGAAAAGGCCGGGGTTCAGCTGGCCTAGATGTGGCCTAGCATTGATTGATAATAATTTTGAGCATTCACCATTTTTATTTAGTTAAGACTTCCTTTTATTATTTTTTAATATTTTTTTAATTTTATGTACATTGGTGTTTTGCCTGTGTATGTCTGTGAGGGTGTTGGATTTCCTGGAACTGAAGTTACAGAGATTTATGGGCTGCCATGTGGGTGCTGGAAATTGAACCCAGGTCCTCTGGAAGAGCAGTCAGTGCTCTTAACCTCTGAACCATCTCTCTAGCCCCCTCCCTCTTTTTTAAGTGGTGCTGAGGATCAAATTCATGTCTTTGTACATGCTAAGGAGGTGCTCAAATGCCAGCATAAATCTACACCAGCAGCCTATGTTCTACATAACAATGAATAGGGCTGGGCCATAGCTCAGTGGTAGAATGTTTGGTTAACATGTTCGAAGCCCTGGATTCCATCCCAAGCACCACAGTAAACAAATGAGACATCCACTGGTATACTCATTCTGCTTTTTAGCTCAGAACAATTGTTTTTAGTATATGTGCTGCCGAAGCGAGCACCAGAACAATTGTTTTTAAAAGGAAAAGTATTTTCTACTTTCAAGAACATGATTTTCTTGCATTTGCATAAGAATGTAATAATGCAGTGGAGGTTTTGTTTTGCTTTTGTTTTTAGTATTCTGGTGCTAATATTCATATGATAAAACTTTACTGCAAAATGCCAGAAGAGGTCTCCCTTGCATATTTCTGTCCAAGTCTTTGGACAGTTCAACACTAATAACCAACTTCTTTTATCTGTCAAGGGAGAGTACAATGCCAAATGTTGCTGTTAGTTTACCAGTGGTCTCAAAACTGTTTACCTCATCTGAAGGCTGTAGACCTGAAGATCATGACAACCACTAGGTTAGTTGGCACAGTTGCCAATCAGCACCCTATTCAGCTTTAACAGTACAGGCTCGTTCAGGACAGAGTCAGCTATGGGCCAATGAGAACTGCAACTGTGAATGTTTGCTGTGGGGTAAGGAGATATGCAGAATTTATGGTTTTGTTGCCTCTACCTTTTCTTTGGAATGCAGAAAAGCTCCCAGAGTTGACCCAAACCCCAGCAATCTCCTGAGAAATGTAACTGAGATAAATTGCCCTATTGAAAACACTGTGGTTTCCTTCATTAGTATTAGGACTGAGGTTGTTTCTTTTACAAAATATTCAGGAACTGAACTTTCCTGAGATGCTAGAGACTCTTGTTGGACAGGGGTTAAAGCTACTACAAACTTTACAACTAAAAACAGAGTCTTCAAAATAAGTTTGGAGCATGGGGGAAAGGGAGTCCTCTATGTTTGTGTTTGCCCTATAGAAATCAGTTTGGAATATAATATAAACAAGTATAAATTAACCAACCAAAGACATATATGTTGTAGTCATTTTGGCCTCCCTTTATAGGCATTTTTATTTCTATCTTAAAATGAATCATTTTCATAAAATTAATGCATTATTAAAGTGCTGTTTGATGTGAAATAACTTGAATGATATTCTACAAAATAAACCATCACTGATGATATATTTGTGGTGGTAACTGCTAGATTCCTATGAGGAGTGAGTAGCTAGAGACATGCAGCAGTGTTTAGTATTGGCCTCAGGCACTGTAGCTGTCCAGTGTCATCTTTTCAGTTTTCTGCATTATCAGTGACCATACTTACTTACTGTACAGCTCTAGTTTAAAGTTTATGAAATTTACCAAATAAAAACTTTGCTATATATGAGTGCTTCTCCATTATTTTAATTCATCCTTTGTCTTCTCATCATAGCCAGCAGTACCAAACTTGTTTCAGGTTAGTTTCCCAAGTTAATTCTCCATTATTATATAGGAATATCAAGGCTTTCACTGGCTGTATTGTGGGACCTTGGGGGTGTTGCTTTTTGACATAGGGTCTTATTCTCTATCCCTGACTGGTCTGGAACATGTGTAGAACAGGCTGACCTTGAACTCTTCTGTTTATGCCTCCTGAGTAAGGGTGTGCATCACAATGCCCCTCATAAAATAATGCTTTTAAAAAAGAGTAACTATGAGATTCGGGATGTGGCTCTTTGAGTAAAGCACTTACTGTTTAAGTGTGAGTATCTGAGTTGAGATCACCAGAATCTGCATTAAAGCCAGGCCTGGTAACTATCTATAATCCAAGTATTCCTGTTGATGATATGAGAGACAAAGACAGCAGAATCCCTAAAAACTTGGAGGCTAAGCGGCCTGGTATATGTAAGCGCAAATATCAGAGACCCTGTCTCAAGCAAAGTAGCAAATAAGGCAGTTTAGAGAAAATCCATAGCCAACATCAAATTAAATGGAGAGAAATGCAAAACAATTCCACAAAAATCAGGAGCAAAATAAGGTTATCCACTATCTCCATACCTATTGAATATAGTACTTGAAGTCATAGCTAAAGCAATAAGACAACTTCAGGAGATCAAGGGGATACAAATGGGAAAGGAAGAAGTCAAAGTATCTTTATTTGTAGATGGTATGACAATATACATAAATGACCCTAAAAATGCCACTGGGAAATTCCTACAACTGATAAAACACTTTCAGCAAAGTAGCCAGATACAAAATTAACTCACCAAAATTAGTAGCCATGTATACAAATGACAAACGGATTGAGGAAAAAATCAGGGAAACAACACCTTTTATAATAGCCTCAAATAATATAAAATACCTTGGACTAACTAATGAAGCAAATGAAAGGCATAAATACTTCAAGATATTGGAGAAAGAAATTGAAGATATTAGAAGATGGAAATGCCTCCCATGTTCATGGATTGGTAGGGTTAACATAGTAAAAGTGACCACCTTTCCAAAAGCAATTTAGTGCAACCCCAATCAAAATTCCAATACAATTCTTCAGGGATCTTGAAAGGACAATTCTCACCTTCGTATGGAAACTAACAAATTGATAATTTTCTCAACGCATACCACTTAGCAAAGTTAAGTCAAGATCAGATAAACAATTTAAATAGACCGATAACCGCTAAGGAATTAGAAGCAGTCATTAAAAGTCTCCCAACCAAAAGAACCCCAGAGCAAGAAGGTTTTAGCACTAAATTCTACCAGACTTTCAAAAGATGTTAATGCCAGTATTCAAATTATTTCACGAAATAGAGAAGGAACATCGCCAAATTCATTTTATGAGGCCACAGTCATCCTAATACCCAAACCACTCAAAGATTCAACAAAGAAAATTGCCAACCAATTTCCCTCATGAACGTTGATGCAAAAATACTCAATAAAATACTTGCAAACCAAATCCAAAAACACATCAAAAAGATCACTCACCACAATCAAGGCTTCATCCCAGAGATGCAAGGATGGTTCAACATATAAAAATCTGTCAATGTAATCCACCATATAAACAAAATGAAAGAAAAAAACACATGATCATCTCATTAGATGCTAAAAAGCCTTTGACAAAATCCAACACCCCTTTATGATAAAAGTCTTAGAGAGATCAGAGATACAGGGACATACCTAATCATAATAAAAGCAGTATACAGCAAGCCTATAGCCAACATCAAATTAAATGGAAACTCCATATCAATTAAATATAGCATTTGAAGTTTTAGCTAGAGCAATAAAACAAAGGAGATCAAGTAGATACAAATTAGGAAGAAGTCAAAGTATCACTATTAGCAGATGATAAGATAGTATACATAAGCAACCCAAAAAATTCCACCAGTGAACTCCTACAGCTGATAAACACTTTCATCAAAGTGGTTGGATACAAGATAACAACAAAAACCAGCCCTCCTATATGAAATGAAATATGGACTAAGAAACACCACCTTTCACAATAGCCACAAATACTATAAAATGTCTTGGAGTAACTAACGAAGGAAATGAAAGACCTGTATGATTAAAAACTTCAAGTCTTTGAAGAAGGAATTCAAGAAGATATCAGAAGATGGAAAGATCTCCCATGCCCATGGATCAGTAGGATTAA